TCAGATAACCGCCGGGGGCAGGCGGCCATGCGAATTTTGAGCAAGCGCGCACCGGAAAAATAGTTCTTGATTTTTTGCGGCCCGCTTGCAGAAATTTGGAAGAAAGTCGGCGAAATCAAAGACGAATGCTTGAAGAACAATCGCGGTTTCTTTATGGATTAGTTGCGGCGCAGTGGCCGCATTCTCGCGGACTTTCCGCGAGAATATGCAAAAATTTCGAGGGCCGCACGGTCCTTTGTGGAGGACCGCTCAACCCCCAGGTACTTTCCGCTGAGAGAAAGTACCTCAAACTTGAGTAATTAAACCAACGGTGACACCTCTGCCACACAGAGTCTTACCTGCACTCGACGTACGCCCGAAAATGCCTAAAAAGAGTCCGAGCGCTTGCTGAAAGTTTGGCCAGCGCTCGCTGAAAGAAATTATTTGCCGAGCGCTTGCAAAAAATGCTGTATTGCTGCCCGGTGGCAGAATATGCAACCGTAAAGGAAGTGCCGCCCGCTGAAGGTTTGGCCACGCCCCAAAATTCTGCTGACCGCCTGCAGAAAAGCGCGAGTTTGCGGACCGCCTGCCCCCGGCGATTATCTGAGTGGTTGTCAATCCGAATGGCAGGACTTCAAACTCGAAGAGACCTTCGCTTGTAGTGAAAGCACTTTTTTGCTTGGCATCTTCTGATAACCGTATCTGCCAGCATCCTGATATCATGTCCAGAGTGGAGAAGTACTTTTTTCCACTGAAACTTTGTAGGATAATGTCGATTGATGGAAGGGGATAGGAATCATGTTTTGTGACTTTGTTAAATTCTCTGTAATCTACAGGAAGTCTCAAGGTTCCATCCTTCTTCCTCACTAACACCACTGGTGATGCCCATTCCGACCTACTCTTCCGGACAATTCCTCTCTCTTCGAGATTTTTGATAATTTGTTTGAATTCTTGTAGAGCTCCTATGGGTACTAGTCGCGTCTTTTGCTTAATCGGTGGATGATTCCCTGTATCGATGTTGTGAGTTACCAAGCTTGTTTGTGTCAGTTCGGAGTCGTTGATCGCGAACACGACAGCATACTGTTTGATAATTTTCAGCAATTCTTCCGGGTATTTGTCATTTGTTTTGAGTGCTGCTATCACCTCCTGCACTCTTTGTTCTCCAGTCTTGTTTTCTCCGTTGTGGAAGTCGAGAGCATCTGCCGTTGGCTCCAACCACTTACTGTCAATCCATTCGCCGTTTTCGAAGTTGCCGATAGTTTGCCCTTTTTGCAGTACTAACGGTTGGTCATCTCTATTTGTCACCGGTATTTCAGTCTCTCCTTTGGTTGACGGCTGGCAGATCCCATCTGGTATCTGAGGGGAGTTTGAGCAGAATATGCGTGGAGAGCTGTCTTCCAGATAGGATACAGTTACCACTCTGCTTGCTTCCGATGGTATGTACGTACGGTTTTTCACTACAGCTGGAAACAACTGTGTCCTCTCTTGTTTGCTGGCTAAGTCAAAAATGGTGTCACTGTTGACCACTTTGAAGCCGAACTTGCCAAATGCGTTTGTTCCCAAAATCAGTACATCCTCAAGCGACCTGCTGACAAAAAGGGAGATGTTCTCAGTCTTTCCCCAAACTTCTATGGTAGTTTTTATTGCGCCCAAGATTTCCATTTTGTCTCCAGAAGCAGTGCGTATCGTAACATCAGTCATTTCTGGAACTCTCTCTACGCAAGCGTCGACGTCTATTCCTGCATCTCTTGCCTTTTTGAATAGCTGCAGTGGAGCTATTGACGTCTCCGAGCCCGTATCAATGAGTGCCTCTATCTCCAAGTTCATTACCGTTGACGGTACTAATAACTTTCTTCCGAAGAATTCTCCTGCTTTCTGTTTGGCGTCCGTGCTGGCACACAACCACTGTCAAGAACAGTTGAAAAGTGCCGCCTCCTTTTCTCCCCCTTGCCTAGAAGTATCGGTTTTGGTGATTTGCATCGTACATTGCTTGGCTTTGTGTCCCATTTTCCCATAGTTGAAGCACTATCTGGGAGCATCTGCATAGTTTAGTGTCTTCTTTATTCCTTTTTCTTCCACTGGTGTATTGTTTCCATTTTTTTCAACGACCTCTTTTTCCGATTTCACCCACGGTCTCGGTGTCGATCGGTCGACGTGCAGCCTCTTGTGGTGTGAATCTCCCTCCGGTTTTTCGTTCTTTCGGCATAGGTTCCTTTCTAACATCAAAGCTGCATCCTTGACGTTGTCGTACACTGTATCCTTAGGGCTTTTTTCAAGCGCCTCTGCCAAAATAAAGCTGCCTTCCCACTTCGTCAGCTGCGAGTATAGGATCTCTGCTTTCAGGAGTGAGAGCCCATGATTTCCCCACCAGGAAATGCCTGGGAGGCTGTTTTCTTCAAAGCAAAGCGGAAATCACTAACTGATTGATTGTTTCTTATTTTAAGACTTCTCAACATTTTCAAGCCTTTTACACATGAAGTGTTGCCCCCTTCCGATAAGCGTTCCGCCATTGCCTGGACAACACCGTCAAAAGAGCCCTCTTTTAGACTTTGCGGCAATGTTTCGTATAAATTTAAAGCTTCCCTTCTTAGAAAAGTCTTAAAGATTTTGATCAAGTATTGATCATCCCAGCACATTTTTGGGTATTTTATCGAAAATGCTTCCACAAAACTTTTGAAACTCTCTGTTGGTTTACCATGGAACGGTCGAACATTGGGTACTGTACTCGCTAGCATGTAATCTTTCATGGTAAACTCAACAGCAGAGTTGCTTCTTGGCTCTTGAAGAAGCGTCGTGTGCGTACCTGTGGCCAATTGACGTAGATTGCTGTTGCCGAATTCTGGCTTGCGCGTACGCCAACAAGGTTTCGGGGTCCATTGACTCGAGGTACTTGTCTCGGGGTGTGTTTGGTCCTGCAATAAAATTCCATTATCGTCATTAACAGTTGCAAATCATGCATATTTGTTATGGACCGTTGTAACATCAGCATTACCTGATTCATCTATTTCACCATCGGAGTCGTCTGACGCATCGCTCTGGATGACGTGTGAGCGTACTTTGGCAAACTTCTTCACTTTTTCAGTGAGGTGCTGGACCTGCAATTGTAAGCTTTCAGCACGTTCCGTAGCCTCGTTCCATTTGTTTCTGTAACTTGTTGCCTCATCCACTACTCTGATAACTTCATTTTGCAGATGTTTTTCATCGCAGTTTAAGATGCTACATAACCCTGCGATCAGGCTATTTTGGCTTAGCTTCCTATCAAGACAGCGTTCTAGCTCTTTTGCTGAAGTCATTTTCGCCTGCACTAAGATTTCGACTATGTCAGGTTCTATCTGCATAGCTCCCGTAACGTCCCTAGCGCCTACTGCCCCACTGATAATTTCCTTGATTTCGTTTTCAACAACTTGCGCTTGTTGATCTAATTTTGCTGTTATCGCGTCTCTACGCTTGTCGCCTGCGCGAAAGTATGCGCTTAGCTCCTTTTCGCACTCTATTTTTAGCCGAGTTAGGCTTTGGTGAACCTCTTTACTTTTGTCTTGCAAATCGGAGCATTGCATTCTTACCTCTTTTTCCACTTGATCGCCTTCGCCGGTTTGTTCGCTCGATTCCAGCACAGAATTTGGCATTTTTATCTGCAATGAACAACAGTTGATGTAGTATAAACGCTTAAGCAATTACGTTGCACGACGCGAAAACGCTGAACGACGCGAAATTGCGAAGAATTACAAAACGGTATTAACTTCCTCGAAATTACTAGTACTTTTCGTAGTTACTATGATGTTACAGTGACTTCTACTCGATTTTTTTTCCGGCCCCAAGCGCGCTATCTAGCTTATACGAATCACTATCGATTTGCAAAGTAGCACAATGTATTGGTGCTCAATCGATCAAAATCGAGACTAGCACAATTTCGGGATCTCGGTGATTTATTCTCCCGAGATTTTACTGCAGGGTACAACCGCTGCTTCTGCGAATGACAAAACGCGATTACAATAGGCGAAAATTTAATCGCGCCCTATCACCCACTTCGTTATGGGGATCGCTGATGCACCAAATGTTTCTTTCGGAAGGTCCACAGACGCTTCCTTATTTAATTCGTACTCTGAGCGGGGCACAGCCGCCGCTTTTCTACTCTAGTAATGGGGATCACTGATGCCCCAAGTGTTCAACTTGGAAGGTCCTAAGACACCCCTTGATGTAGCGGGGCACAGCCGCCGCGTTATTGTTTCTCTTGTGGGGATCACTGATGCCCCAACTTGCTTCTTCTGGAAGGTCCTAAGACACTTCCTTAGTAGTCTGAGCGGGGCACAGCCGCCGCTTTTCTTATTTCTCTTGTGGGGATCACTGATGCCCCAACGTTCTAGTGAGCGGTTCGGCCCCCAAGTGGCTACAAGGATAGCTTAGGAATAACAACGTCGCGGTAGTACCGCGTTCGACTCACTAGAACGCTCAAGAGAACGAATCGTTTATCGATAAGAACAAGACAACAAAAAGAAATGAGCGACGAAAAAGAAAGAACTCAATACGAACACGAACCAAAACAAAAACAACGACTGACTGCAATACTGCCCTAACGGGCGGAGATCGAGGTCAACAGTTTTGGCGCGCTTTCGCAACACCATTGATCTTCAATAAGTGAAGGCAAGAACCCTTACATAGATACCGCGCATAGACAATGAGATGCAAAAAGAGATCTAAAGTAGCAAGAGAACGGCAAGGTAACAAGAAAAAGGACAAAACACAAAACAACATTGAAAACACAACACAACATTGCCTAACGGCTTACCAAAAAAAGTCAATGAAGCGGATCTAGTCTAGTCAAGAAAATCAGAGATACCGTATACCAAAAAAATGACACCCCGGTTACAAAGAAGTCTCCAAATCGAGCAGAACTTTCGGAACAGCCTAGTACAAGCTGTTTAACATCATGCAGAAAGCCGAAAAGACTGGAGTAAATCTGTTCTTAAGGCTACGATTCCTACACATTTGTTTCCTTTAGCGACTATGGGAATTTTTTTTAGATCGATCATAGACACAAAAGTCAACCCTTGTGAAGATTTTTATCAGTACACATGTGGAAACCTGCAAGGAGACATGAGTTTTGTAAACTCTGATTACGACAACCTGCACAATATGATCGAGCAGTTCAAAAATAGGAGCTACATAGACAAAGCGGTAAAGTCTTTTATTACATTAGCAATATTTTTGATGGTCTATATCCAACTGATAATGGGAAATAAGCAACAGGTATAAGATTCCAGGCGGACTTAAAATCAGCTTAGAAAAGCGCAAATACTGACGCGTCCTGCTTTATATTACAAGGCCTTATCTTTTTGAACTTTCCTACTACGTCATGGCGTTACTCTTTGCTACGCCCTTCAATAAACCATCGCAATTATTGAGCAAATCATGTTTAGAATTTCTTAGGGCGTATGATTGCAGCCTGAACCAGTGATGATGATGTCAAGATATTATGAGAAATGTGTGGTTGCACGCACAAACTGGAATGAACTAACCAAGGATGCTAAGGTAGTGATGGACGCTATCAAGCGCCTTGCAGGAGGTAGGTTTGCAGAGTGATATACAGAATGTTAATGTCGTCAGGCTCAGTAGTACATTTATTTTACGTTTCAAACAGCACTGAATGCTGATTTTAAATCTTTCTTCGCAATCTGTTGCGCGCTTCTGGACCTCAAGTTGTCGTTGATGCATAATTCCTGCATCAAAATAGTACAGACCGCAATAATCTGGAATAATCCTATATCCCAAATAGGCGATATATCATTAGAGTAAACCTAGACCTACAAGACAGTGCTCAAATATCTGCACCAGCTTTGGTTTACGCGAAGTTTAGAGCCGAAAACTGAAAAAAAAACCACGCGTCCGAAAACCTTAAGACTAATCAAAACAAAAGTGTAACTTCGTTCAAAAAGCTCCTACAAAATTTATTCCTTGCTCACGCGTAGACATTCCACGTAGAACATTTATCTATGCGGTTGCTGTATTTTTTTCTCAGCTACACGATGAGAAAACGAAGTTTTTCATGTTTTTGCCAAATTTGTGCTGGGATGTTGCAGCACTAACAATTGTATAGTACATGCCGTTAGCAGTAAAACTTCACATTTTCAGCCTTATAGAACTGCTAGTTCACGAGAAATGACGAATCTAGCTCTCCTTATCCAAATTTTTTTGCCTAGTTGCTGAACATTTGATATTTTTCCAAGAACCAGCCGCTGTAAAGAGCTGAAAATTCACACTCACGCTTTTGAGGTCATGTATTAGGTTGGTGCAAAAGTAATGCGCGTTTTTCTAGCCCTTGTTTCAAGATAGCTTATCTCCATCAAGTTTCTCCTATGAAACATACCCAGCACTTGTCAAGAAGCTTTTTTCATGCTCTATTCAACGGTTGTTGAAAGAAGCTTCTAGCTTCATTCGTTAAAAATTTATAGAGCTTCATACAAGAGCACTCAAAACCAGAATTTCATTGCACTTACTTTTTGGGCCAGAATTCAAGCGCGAGTAAAGGCATTCTTATTGCATGCTTCATTGTTTTCCTAGAAATTACTTAGACTGAGATCTTGGCGCCTCAACATGAGTGATGGTTTTGGCCATTCTGTGGCCCATAGATTTCCTTTGAAAAGGGCAATCGCCAAAATTCTGCTCATTTCTGTAAGCGTAAGGGTGGGCCTCCTATTGACAGTTTTTGCAGAAATGTGGAACTGCTCAGTACATAGAAAATCAAAAATCTCCATATTTTGGGATTTTGAGCGCTACGGAAAAATGTCGAAAATAGCGGACTATTTTGAATATTATTTTTTTTCCTTTTCGCAAATATTCTTTATTTAAGCCCTTTTGCATTTTTTTGTACTAATGGCTTGCGGTTACAAGACAGTCAACTTATCATTCATACCGACAAATCCTGAAGGAAGTTATGATCAGTTAAATACGAGGTACCCGAAAAAAATTTTTTTGCTTATCAATCCATATTTTTCCACCGATTTGCGACAATAACATAAAGCAATATGCGCTGTATAGAAAGAGGTTTGGTGCCTCCGATAAACTTTGCCGTACTGAAAAATATGGATTTCTTAAAAAGTTATAGCACGTCAAAGTGAGAACTCGTAAAACGCGCATTATTTTTGCACCAACCTAATAGTATACAAGTGTCAGGCTAGAACATCTCAGCATTATTTTGGAAAAAACATGAAAAACTTCGTTTTCTCAATTTCTAGCTGAGAGAAAAATACAGCAACTGCATAGAGAAATGTCTTCTACGAAATGACAATGCATAAGCATGTTAGGAGTTTTGGAGGATTTTTCTGAGCGGGCTTCCAATTTCTTCTCGGGTTTTTGGGGCATTTGGATCTTTTTCGTTTTTGGCTTCAATCTTCGTTTGGATCAAAGCTGCTGCATATCTTCAAGCACTATCTTGTAGAACTAGGTTTCCTCTATTCAATGATATATCGAATCCTATTTGGGATATAGGATTTTTCCGTATTACTGCGGTCTCTACCTACTTTTGTGGAGGAGTTATGCATCAACCTAATATTAAACTCTCAGCTAGACCAAAAAACCAACAAAGTGCTGAGTATCGGGACACTTTCTGCCATAATCCTACCCAACACTGCTCTGGGTGCTGAATGGATTGCAAGACTGGTTTCGAGTCTGTGTTCATTTTTTGCTCCTAAGACACTCATGATTCCACCAGAAGCGCACAACGGATGATGAAGACAGATTCGAAATGTGCTTCATTTGTGTTTCATTTTCTGCAAAATGCTAAAGCTCATTCGAAAAGTTTACTTCAATCAGGAACACATGCCTTTTCAACACAAAGTTGCTGATATTTCTTCAAACTGGTGATGTTATTCAGGAAATGGCGACTTCCCAGACACAAAGTTCCCTTTCTACATGCTTTATCAGGATGCACAAGAAAGCGAAGCTCTCACGCCAAATGGACTTGCGTTCTTACTAGGTTGTCAAGTCTGCAAATCTTATAATTATCTTATTTTGACTGTAAGATGTGTAGGTAACACAATCGGAATGGACAGTGTCGCAAGCCTCGTTCAAGCTATGATCGAAATCAATTGGAAAGATCATACTGGCGAGGATGGAAATAAGTTCTTCTTGGATCAGCCCGATACTCTGATACCATATAAGTATCATATCAGGGCATGGGATACGGCTAAGCAGAGGCTAGTGATGTTGTAGCAGCGAATACAATTTGAAAATGTGCTAACGAGGGAGAGTTCCCAAGTCAGCTCGGCCAACCCGGATGAGTCATACATCACCGTAACGGGCTTGGACGCTGATTCCAAATCTGCTTTCCTTTTCTGCGGAGCGGCTTTCCGAGAGGAGTTATGAGCGTTTAAATGTCTAAATTTGTCATGTTTTGAGTGGCTTAAAATTGGCGAAACCTGAACAATAACACATGAAAGTGATTTATCAGTTTTGTATCAAGCACATTGATTACAAGGACGGAACACAGATAATGAAATTCCGTTAGGTGTTGTTTCACAGCCTTCAACTGATTTTAAGCCACTTTGAACATAACAAATTTAGACATTTAAACGCTCATAACTTCCCTCGGAAAGTTGCTCCGCAGAAAATGAAAGCAGATTTGGAATCAGCGTTTCAAGCTCGTTACGATGATATATGACTCATCCGGGTTGGCCGAGCTGGCTTGGGAACTTTCCCTTGTAAGATACTGCACTCACACAGCTTTTTACAGCGTTTATTTTAATTGTGGCGTTCGGTAAATTCTACACATCGAATTGTTCATGTCCCTCTAATTAAGAAAATTCTGAAAAGTTTTCACCTAATGCCATAAAGTTAGTGTTGCAAAAATTTGAGCGACGGCACCTCTTATCCCACTAACCCAGTGGTGTTCTCCACCCGTGCAGACAGCTGGTACATTCGTATCACCTGTAGGCATGGATGGTATGTTGCAGATGTCCGCGTGAGACCACCTCCTGTGGGCATGTACCCTTGGATTTAACTGTCTTGGAGGCTAGGAAGGATGGGGCTTCGTGACCTACTTAAGGCTAGAGGTTGATCAGAGAGTACGTCCGCGCTGCTTCGTGGACGCGAGCGGTCGCCAATCTCGTAAGGGTAGCTTGGTACGGAAATAATGTGCTGGCATACATTATGATACTGGCACATAACAGGTTGTAAATCTACAGTCATGCTTCAAAAGGCCTTTAGTATACGATCTAAGAAATTTGCATTGTGGGCGGAGTCTGCCATATTTCGTTTATAGTTTTTATGGGATTTTGAATGCGAGAAAATCCGAATGCATATATGGTTGTTGATATATAGGCTATATCACCCACCATCGCTTGCAGGAATCCGCGAAATGAGGCTGCGCGCGTGCGTCCGCATGCGGCGGAAAAGGTAATCGAGCGCAAAAGCTAGTCTTTTGCTTAATCATTCAAACGCTCCCTTTCTGTATTAATATTAGGTTGTCCCATAAGTCTTTTCATACCTGAATTTTCAGCGGCATAAATCAGTTCTTCTTGAACTGCTGATAAAATGCAAGATACCGTTCGACAGATCAAAGTAAGCTTTACAAGATGGCGTTCAAAAGTTCGCAACAAGCTCAATCCGCCACAAGTTCCAAGCCAAAACAAAAAATTTTCCGAATTTCCGAAAAAACGAAAATCATCATATCTCAGTTCAAAACAGCTCTGCAAATTTTCCACTTTTTCATGCATATAGTCTCCTCATCGGATATCTATACATGCGCTTGCTGCATTTTTCTGATGGCTAGAAACCAAGAAAAAAATTAATGCGCAGCTTTGCCTGTATCACTTCTGTGTACCCCGCAAATGATTGATTATATAGCTTATTCACTCAGAATTACTGTTAAAAAGTTGCAGCCTATTAGGTACTGTAGTTCTTGAGAAAAATCGAATTGAAGGTCCGAATATGAAAAGACTTATGGGACAACCTAATATTTATTACTCTTGCTAAATATTTATTTTCGTTTGGGTTCTTGTCTTGATTACATGAGACAATTTATGTAATAGCAGGCCCATCCCATGTTGATATTCGGGTAGAAAATGTTGGTTTTTGTCACAAATGCAATCAATAGTTATCATCAGTTACAACTTCTGCTCTACCGCATGCGATATGGTTTACTAGCTGGCTTACCCGGCTCCGCCGTATCCGGACCAAACTTGGCACACATACACTTCGGGCCCCGGCGGGTGTCACAGTCCACTTTTCGTTATCGATCGATGTCGATTTTACGGATTTCTATCGTTTTCTTTGCAGAGTTCACCTACAGGGCTAGGAGTTGGCACAGGGGGGAAGTGAGCATGGGGATTCCGAATACAATATTAGTTTTCAGAATTATCGATTACTTTTATTGATTTTATCGATTTTTTGTAAATTTTGACATGCGAGGCTGGGATTTTGCACAGGGGGGTAATCGAGCATGCTGATTACGAACACAATATTAGTTTTCAGGATCGTCCATTACTTTTATCCATTTTATCGATTTTTTTGTAAAGTTTGACCTGCGGGGCTGGGAGTTTGCACAGGGGGTAATCGAGCATGCAGATTACGAATACAATATTAGATTTCGAGATCGTCCATTACTTTTATCGATTTTATCCATTTTTTGAAAATTTGAGCTAGGGGGCTGGAATTTGGCACAGGGGTGTAATCGAGCATGCTGATCACCCCCCTTGGGGATGATCAGCATGCTCGATTACCCCCCTGTGCCAACTCCCAGCCCCCTAGCTCAAACTTTGCAAAAAAATCGATAAAATCGATAAAAGTAATCGATAATCCTGAAAACCAATATTGTATTCGGAATCCCCATGCTCGATTACCCCCCTGTGCCAACTCCCAGCCTCGTAGCTCAAACTTTGCAAAAAAATCGATAAAATCGATAAAAGTAATCGATAATCCTGAAAACCAATATTGTATTCGGAATCCCCATGCTCGATTACCCCCCTGTGCTCACTCCCAGCCCCGTAGGTGAACTCAGCAAAAAAATCGATAAAAATCGATAAAATCGATATCGATCGATGACGAAAAGTAGCCTATGACACCCGCCGGGGCCCGTAGTGTATGTGTGCCAAGTTTGGTCCGGATCGGTTCAGAAATGGAATTTTCTATTCGGAACATACGTACATACATACAGACAGACATACAGACAAACAGACATTCAGCTTTATATATAAGATAAAGAATAGCAGAAAATGTTTACGACTATTAAACAGTGTGTGCAATCAGCCCTGTCACATGGATGCATAGCGTTTGCAATCCGCTTTTCATAGTCTTTTGATTTTATTGTCAGATAGAAGATGTGATAAAGTGTCAAACAACCAGATATTACCCGATAAATTAACGAGGTGCGCACTGTTGTGTCTATGCGTCTAAAATATGGAAAACATGATATGATTCACTTGCAAACGTGAATAAAGGTCTAGGACACGTACGAACAATAAACAGTTAGAACAGCGATGAGTTGAGTCAAACACAGATCCAATCGCCAAACGCTTTTGTGCTCGCGTACTATAGCTGCGCCCGTCCCGCGTGCGCCGCCTCAGCTCATGAGATCCCGCGACTAATGCTAGGTGATATAGACTATAGATTTGCTATGATGACCAACTGGGAAGTTCGTAGGAATTGCCCGGGCAAAAAAGCCCTGCCTTTCAGTCGCCAAGCCAGTTGAATCGCAGGTTAGGTCATCTGACCCTGACTGGTGCAACATCTCTTCTAGTAATTCGGTTCTACGAACGACATATCTGGCTACCTCTCAAATAATCACTTCATAATACCAATAGTCTTGCAATGGCTTGGCAAACGGAATAATGTCATTTTGGCTCAAGGTTTACAAGTATGAAGAGCGAAGGTAATAGACCGAAAAGCTTCGAAATGAAAACGTTGAACAAATTGCGGCTAAGGAGATTTGCCAAAAGTCAGTTTCCCATTCCCCCGCATTGAATGCCATTGATGCCAACTAAGGCATCGCAGAAACATTCTCGTAATCAAAATCAAATGTCTCAAAATTATTCTTCAGTATGATGGAGACCCTCAAAAGTATCATGAATCGCGTCGCCACCGCACAAGGAATAACTTTGCGTGAAGAAAAATTAAACTCTGATCTCAACGAAGTCTTGGAATTTGACCACGTTTTGGCTACAAAATACAGGTAAGTCAAAGAATACCTTTATGCGAAGCATTTAGATGATACCTTCAGCACTGACGATAAGACACGTCGTAATTTCGAGAGAAGCTTCAACACAATGACGCTCCAAGAACTTCAAGAGAGATATAATAAGATAAACTGGGAGCTTTTTATCTCGGAGGTTTGTTAGTCCAACATGATTAGCAAAAACGATGTAGATTAATATTTGAGTACTATGTGTTTTGCACGATCATGCTTGGTTTGCAAGTTTCAAGATTTTGTATATGCATCAAGAAACATTGGCAGCTTTAGCCTTAGAGCATCAACGAGGGAAGTACCTTCAATGGCCGTGGCCGTTTGATATGATATGCATATCTTCTAAAGCAGCTTCGAACGCTATTTTAAATCTGCTTTCCTTTTTGCGTAACGCTCTTAGAGAGTTATAAAAACTTGAATATCCTGTTTTGGGATACTCCTTGAGTTCGAAAACGCTGCTACATTTATGCGTTGGTGGCACAGTGGGGTAGTGGTTAGTTGCTGGCATTGAAGGCGAGGGGTTGACGCTTCGAATGTTCAAATCTGTTGGAGAGCGAAACATTTTGCATCTTAAATGTGAGTTTACTGCGCACTCAGTCGTCTGCAGAACATGTGCTGTAATGCCTTTGGCATACGCGACCTAAGAAAAGATTTTCTGACAGGGCTATCGTATCTGCTGTTCTCTCCCCCCCCCCCCGGGAAACAAGTTATTTTGAATATTCCATTCGACGCAACGCCTGGCATTCTCCTAGATGAGTATTTCTTTCTATCCTTCAAAAAGTTGTACAATCACTTCAATTCTCATGTGACACCTAATCTTGATTTCGTCGTGCAGAGTCGCCACTCTTTGAGGTTTTTGTCGCTCATCTATCATCAATTTTAAGCCCATCGTAAAAAATTTCTGCATACTCTTGGTATATGAACGGGCATTTCGATGGACATCTGGAAGCATTTGAAACGGTACTCCAATATTGATCTTATATATAAAGCTGAATGTCTGTCTGTATGTACGTATGTGCGGAATAGAAATTTTTATTTTTGAACCGATTTTACCAAATTCGGCACACATACAGTTCGGGGCCGGGCGGGTGTCATACGCCACTTTTCGTCATCGATTGATCGATTTTATCGATTTTTTTTGCAAAGTTTGAGCTACGGGGCTGGGAGCTGGCACAGGAGGGTATGTGAGCAAGCTGATTACGAATACAATACTAGCTTTCAGAATTATCGATTTTTATCGATTCTATCGATTTTTTGCAAAGTTTGAGGTACAGGGCTGGGAGGTACAAGGGGGTAAGTGGGAATGCTGATTTCGAAAATAACACAGGGAACGGGAAATGAAGTGGAGAAGTGGGCACAGGGAAAGGCTGTACAGGGATAGGAATGGGACCTTTATTAAAGTGTTTTGACAGGACCGAGCGGAGCCGGGTAAGCAAACTAGTTTCCTATTAACTTGATGGGTACCTCCGATCATGAGAATTGCACAGAGGTTTTCTTCATAAGCTCTTCCCATTGTGAGAAATGCCTGTGTTTTGCCCACTTAATTTCGCTTCACCTTTGTGCATAAATATTTTGCGGGAAACCAAATTTCAAAAGCAGCAAGTAGATCTGCCAGAAAAAATTCTTTTTAGGTAGCATATGCTTAAGGCATCAAGCAAGTGTCTGTAGGCAATTTAGAGTGCTTAATAAACTCACACTTAAGATGCAAAATGGTTCGCTCTCCACCAGATTTGAACATTTGAACCGTCAGCCTCTCGCCTTCAATGCAAAAACGAACCACTACACCACTGTGCCACCAACGCACGTAGCAGCGTTTTCGAACTCAAGGAGTGCCCCAAAACAGGGTATTCAAGCTTCCATAACTCTCTTCAAAAGAGCGTTCCGCAGAAACGGAAAGCAGATTTGAAATCAGCATTCGGAGCTGCTTTAGATAATATGCATCTCATATCAAACAGCCACGGCCATTGAAAGTACTTCCCTTCTGAGTATAAGATAACAATAGTGGACAGGAAAATGGAGGACAACAACGCAAAAGTTTGAAAACAAATTTGTATCAAATGGGAGACTTTCTTGCTTACTTGACACCAAATTCGGTACATGATGAATTCCGCAGCTCTCTAATCGAAGTGCAAAAAATTTCAATGAACCGAAAAGCTAGTTACCACATGATTACAATAATTTATTTACTTATTTGGTTATTACGCACAAAGCGTGCCATAACTAGAACGAAATAATGAGAACATAATTAGGAACAGATACAAAACAAAACAAAAAGAATTCAATAAGTTAGCTAAAGTCCAGTCACCAAATAGTTATGAAGAAAATAAGGAATTAAGCTTGTATAGACTAGCTATGAAATAATGACTGAAATTAATGGCGCAAAGACTCAGTGGAGTCTGTCCCATGCCCCCTGCTTGCCCGGAAAGTTGATCTTTACTATTAGGAGAAAGAGAAAACTTTTGGTTGAATGTCTTGAAACTTAACTAGGAATTAATTAATTAACTAATCATTTACCATTTTGGATGAAATGATATTCTAGGTCACTCAACTTGCGCCGGATGCAAGAGAAAAACTACTTGCTAGTGGCAGTTATCGCTACGTCGTATCTGAACCGGGGGTATTTCAACTACTCAATGATGAACTCTATCAAACTGGAGGTTCGAAGCTTTCTAAGCCACTTCTCTAAGTAATTGCTAAAATCGTTCAGAATCTGCTACGCGTACTCTGGTTAATTACGTATACATTAAAATGGTCAAAGCCTATAGCGACTACTTACCTGTAAGTTCGAAAATAAATTTCCTTGGAAATCAGCCTACAGCAAAATGACACCGAAAGCTTAGAGAACGCATTTTTCAATACCTTTCCGAGTAAATTGTAGTAAACAGAGATTACTGGAAATTTATTAAATATTGTGAATTTTATGGTTTAGTCAACAACAGTAACGGATACATTAGAATCTGAACCATTGCGTTTGGGCAGACCGCGACATATAAGAAAAGGTTAGCTGAATAAAAGCTGATCTTTTGAGTATTACCTGTTTTACAATAAATTCCTTACAGAAACGAAACACTTCAAACGCATGCAAATCAGCGAAATCGAACAAGCAGAAATGAGCTGTGCTGAAGAAACTATGGGGAGCATGCCGGTCAGGAAACAGCTTGAATTCAATTTTTTTCAAGACGTTGTTTCAGTATGCTAATGGACGTCTGTTTATTGACAAAATTTATCCTACTGAGCAATCTCGAAAAGAATTGCATGAAAAAGTTGGAGAAATGTATTCGGGCATTTTTGTTGGTAAGAATCACCGTTCTTCGAGTTAACAGCCTCAAAACTGTACCATTTGAACAGGTTTCCGTTCCATGATCAATCAACTCAAGTGGATGTCTACTGCTTCGAAGGCTGCTGCTTTCAAAAAAATTGATTCTCTTGTAAAAAACATTGGCTACCCAGATTGGATTACCGATGACGAGCAGCTGACGTCAGCCCACAAAGTAATAACATTCATTTAAGATTGACGAGCAGAGATAACAGAAAAGGAACAATAGGAAACTGATATCTGGGCTCTCATTTTCTTTCTGAGAAATCCCGGAGTGGGTATAGAAAATAAAAAATTCGTTCAAGGGAAGGGACGAAATGAGAAATCCTATTTTTCTATATCAAATCAAACTGCATTATTCAGTCGATTTTTGAATCAAAACCAAGAGAAGAAAATACAAGTGATAGAATCGCGTCTTCTCTATTTTATAGTAGGAGGGACAAATTTTACATGCATTTTTTCCTGTATTTCTTTTTTTTTAATCCAGCAACATATTGTCCCAGGATCTCAGCCTAAATGAAGACAATGATTACTTCCAAATGGTGAAGAATATTAAAAAATGGCAAATCAAAGAAACATGGAACTCATTGTTTAATGTGTCTGTGAATAGAATAAATTTCAATGGACCTCCCGGAACGACCAATGCATGGTACCAGGTATCATAGGTCCAACCTTGCGCGAAATTCTTAAGAAAATTTTGCAAATTAGCCTCAACTCAACTCCATCACTTTGCCTGCTGCAATTCTTCACAGCCCATTCTACAACCCCTCCTGGCCCGCGGCTCTTAACTTCGGAGGGCTAGGAGTTATTGTGGGTATGCAGACTCCTCAAATTTGTTTATGATTATCAAATCTAAAAGTCAATATTTCCAGGACACGAGCTTACTCATGGATTTGACGATGAAGGCGTTCAATGGGATGGAACTGGGCTTTTGGCGGGGTAGTAGCTATCATTAGGAAAAGTCACTTTTAGTTTTTTGCTGGGAAGAAGAAGACTTAAGGTGGATGGACAACTCCTCTATAACCGGTTTCCGCGAAATGGCCGATTGCGTGGTAGATCAGTTCAACCATTTCTGTCCTTTGAACGAGACGACCGTTGGACGTAAAGTATGTGTAGATGGAGCAATGACGCAGGGTGAAAACATCGCAGATAGTGGAGGTCTGAAATTGCTCAAAATTAATATTTATAACACTCGCTGAAAAGCAAATTTTGTTTTATCACTTAGGTATCCAGTCATCTTATCGTGCTTTCCGTAATTATGTCAATTTGAATGGTCCGGATCCACAACTTCCTGATGATGAGCTGCAAGAGTTTAGCCAAGACCAACTCTTCTTTTTGGGCTTCTCTCAGGCAAGCCAGCAACGATAAGTTTTAGATGCTCGCAAAACTTATACTGTGCTCTCAAAATAGTTATCTAGGTGTGGTGTCGAAAGCCGCTCGATGCATCAAAACTGTTGAATCAACTTCTTACAGACGTGCATTCTCCAGCAGAATATCGCGTATTCGGTACTATGCAGGTAAATATGAAAAATATAAATTTAACGCCTCATCTGCTAGTGCAGACAATCCATAGCAAGAACAAAAAATGTTTCAATAAATTAAAAAACAAGAGTTTAAGTTGAATTGTTCACCTACATTTGAATATGCTATCTCAGTAATTCTAAAGTCTGAAAAGCAATTCTCGAATATTTTCAACAATATTTTCTTCTTCAGAACTTTCCAGCTTTCAAAGAAGCATTCCATTGTCCTACGACTGCTTATGCGCCCGAAAAACATTGCGATGTCTGGGTGTCAGAGATGGATTCATGTAAAAAGTTTTGTTTTGGTAAAATGATAAATGTATGATTTTTGTCAAATTCTAGCCTACGGCAAGCCTGACGTGAAAAATGAAGTAAATGTAAGACCAAACGAGAGAATCACTCCGACAAAAGCAGAGGAATATGATGCTTACAAGATTGCGATCGACTTTTATCAGGTATAATAATGAAGCTAACATCACGGAGCAAAAAATTTCACTTTCTCCATTAACGTATTTAGCATCAAAGGCATCAAGCAAAACCTTGGTTATACCTTTTTGCGAGGAATTGCGATACTAGGTTCAGTCATTGCTTTTTTTGTTATGTTTTTGTCTTTGATCATTTTGCAAATAAGCAACGAAAAAACATGCATGGACATCATGCTTTAAACAACATTTACTACACACAACATATCGTAATCATTATATATAAATATATGAAAAATTCTCTCACTTCAGCGGAGTAATATACCCTTTAAATAAACTGGCTCGGCTGCTGGAAGGGAACCTACGTGACTCAGTTGAAACTAGGTAATGATCAGAGAGCACGCGCGCGGTAGAGACGCAGAATGCGTAGCGGGCGCGAGCGGCCTTAGTTAGGTCACAAAGCTCCGCCTTCCAGCCGCCAAGCCAGTTGAATCAAAGGTTACGTATTCTGCACGTCATATCTGCAGGACATTTTTGGAGAGTAAGCTGCTGCAAATACAAAGTGAGTCTCAGCAAGATTGAGAATTACAAAAAATGGCTAACACTGGCTTTCAAACAGACAACTTTTCGTCGCGCTAAGCCATTATCTGTTTTATTTGCAATTAAAAATTTTTTTCAGGAATCCGTGAACGCTTCAGCAGATCCATGCGAAGATTTCTTCCAGTACGCTTGCGGAAAATATGACAAAGCTGTAAGTTGTAAAAAAATTATCTTGAGTTGACATGAGAATACTTTGAAATTTTTCAGGTGTCCTTTGGTTTAGCCAGGGCAAAAATTCTTGTGCACATCGGCGACAAACTGTACGATCCTGACTACAGTGGTAAAATTCAGGTGAGATTGTCTCCCTTCTGGGGCTACTTGTTATCGTAAAATGAGTTTCCAGGAATCCGAAGCTCTCAAAAAAGCTAAAATGTTTACGGACGCATGCGTTAAAGCTACTTGGAATACAAGCACAAGTGAAGAAATATTAGTCACCAAGAATTATCTCAAACCAAGGGTAAGACCTCAAGTCTCTGAAATCGCTTACAATCGGATTGAGGGTCACTATTTAGGTCGAACAACTGAAAAATCATCTTGGGTCAGACTTTACCTTACTTTACGGTGGAGAAGTAAGCACACTACCAAATCCTGAGCAACTTGCAAAAGCGTTGGGTTACCTAACATTTAATCAGGCAAGGGCCACTTCCATTTTTGTATAGAGTGTTTGTTTCCTATTTTGTAGGGCATCGATACACTCGTAACACCAATGGTCGATACAAACTGGCCCGAACCGACCAGCGGCTACTACATGTTCCTCGATCAGAATACTGCATATATGGGGTGAGTATGTGGGTAAGATTTTGCATATCGAAGCTCACGACAACTACTGCTAACGTAGATGTTGTCGTAGTATACGTTATGCATGCATTGTACAGGCGCCGTAAAATCTACTAATTGCTCGCGCCGTGCCTTCTACGCAAAAAAACGTGCGAGCGACTGTGTCGGTCCTTTCAGCGCTACAAAGTAGCGTAGCAATGACTCATCAGCAATCTCGAGATTTCAGTGGATTTTATAGTTTCTACTAGTTGGCATGCTTGGCTTGGGCCGCACCGTGGATTTAACTGGCTCAATCAAAACCAAGGTGCGAGTCGTCATTTGTATCTCGAAACGCAGATATCTCCTTACCTCGCCCGCATCTTCCTCATCGTGGAATGAAAAAATGAAAAGAGTTTGACCGCCTTTACAGTGTGTTGGAAGTGGTATGATGGTGACTGATAAAAGTTCATTTCCCTTCAAAATCGGTAAATCAATGCGAGTGGAGATTTTGCCAAGAAAAGTAGCCTAAGAGATGGGCCGGTGTCGAAACATCTGCGTGCGAAGTTTCCTGCTCTTCGGTTCACACATAAAAGTTTTTATAAAGAACACATTAACTAGTAATTTACCAATACTTAGCTTTATACATGCATAATTGTAGCTTTCGTTTGATTCGTCCAGAGTGATCGGAGTCTAGCATCCAGCCGAATCAACTTACCAAGAGTTCCACAGAAGAGCACGATAAAAGCTCTCTCGGTCGCCTACAGGATATGGTGACAATGATCAGTCCACTGAGTTGGACATGTTTATGTAGCTGTAGGTTATCTAGAAACCGCAAAATGATAGGAATGGCTTAAGATCATTTGTGATCGACAACTGTTCATTCTTGCTATTCATTTTCGGATTCCGAGGAAGAATGTATGCGGCTTCCAACGCTTTCCGAGCTGAGATGTTATCCTCGACTGCCAGTATATTACAACTTATTACAAAATCTTCGCCTTCATGATCCTCCCTCCTAGGTTTCCCCAATGGGCTCACGAGGCTCTGTCTTCGTTTGCTGGCCAGATGTTCATTTACACGCACTGAAAGTGTTCGACCTGTCTCACCAATGTAAATGGCCCGGCATGTTTGACGATCCAACTGATAAACTACACCACTTCGTGAGCAATCCCCTCACCTTCCATTTGTGCACACAACGCAGTTTTGCAACTTGCAAGCTTTATCGTACAATCGATTTCAAACCAGTTGTTTTCTAATGCTGTCTTGTGGTATATTCACTAAGACAACATCATCTTCCAACTGCGCTTGCGCTATACATCGCCCAACTGCATTGGTCACTTTCGGGATATGAACGGCAAGCACAAAGCAATGCGTGTTCGACTTCGGTTGCTTGCGTTCATGCGTGTTCGCCTGGAGGTTTTGGGCTGCAGTGGGTATTCGTTGTTGGAAACGATGACGCGTGCCACTTCCACAGACTCGAGTCTTTCACTTTCGCCGCTGCATACGCTGCTTGCTGTTCTGAACATGTTGCGGATAACCGCACGTTTCACGGCAGCTGGATGAGCAGAGGTCGCGTACAGAATGATGTTCTTGCTGCTCTCTTTCCGATACCATTTGATGTGTACAGCGCCTTTAGCCAACATCACCTGTGTGTTGAGAGAGGGTAGCCAGCCATCGTGTGGTTCTTCTCTGGTCAAGCAAATGTACTGCGATTGTTCACTGAGGAGCTTGAAGCACTCATCCATTTCGGACTGAGTCGATGTGACAATGAAACAATCATCTATATAGCGGCAGTACAAAAGGGGACGTCGCGTCAATACCGGCTCTTCTCGGCAGTACAAAAGGGGACGTCGCGTCAATACCGGCTCTTCTATCTGCCTCATAAAGCAGATAGCAAGGACCGGAGCTAGTCTTTGCCCCATCGCCAGCCCTCTTAGCTGTTGGTAATACTTGCCCGCCCATCTGAAGATATTACATCGAAGGCATTCCTTGATAAGAGCAATGATGCGTACTTTGCTAAGTCCGTAGGTTTCCATATTTGTGATATGTGAATCGAGGAGCTCAGAAAGTGCCTGTAAGGCGTCATCATTAGACACATTTGTGTATAATGACTCCACATCAAAAGACTCTATTGCACAATGCTGATCGAAATTCGTTTTGCGTAATTGTTCAAGGAAGCGATTGGTATTCGGCAGATGAGCGGGGATCGTACTTAAGAGTTGGCTGACAATCTTGTTCAGGAACCATGCAATTCTGTCTGTCGGCCCTCCAACGCAACTGATGATTGGTCGAATTTTACAATTTGCAGCTGACACATTTCGTGGATCGGTTGAGAGCTTATGCGTTTTAACGAGGCTGTAGAAGACAGGGCAGATCGGATTTTCAATCTTGAGCCGACTGAGGAACCTTTCTTCTAAACCGGCCGGCTAGCCAATCACCATCCACATATGGTTCAGTCGTTTGCATTGAGAAAGAAATTCTTTCTCTGTTGAGCGACGATATACTGAATCATTGGATAAGTGATATTCGGTAATGTCACGGGCATGATAACAAATTCGCCTCCTTTGTCGCTGATCGAAAGTCGGAGGGTCCCATTAGACGTAAGTTCACGTAGCTCCTTGAATCCCTGCCTTTGTGCGTGAGTTAAATTAGATTGTTTGATACTGCGACTTTTACTCAGAATGTTCAGAATGCCAGCCGACAGTATACGAAATTTAACATCAGCTTCGTGGCAGGGTTCGGGTTCTTTGTAAAACTTGTTCTTTGTAGAAGTATTACCAACAGCTAAGAGGGCTGGCGATGGGGCAAAGACTAGCTCCGGTCCTTGCTATCTGCTTTATGAGGCAGATGGAAGAGCCGGTATTGACGCGACGTCCCCTTTTGTACTGCCGAGAAGAGCCGGTATTGACGCGACGTCCCCTTTTGTACTGCCGCTATATAGATGATTGTTTCATTGTCACATCGACTCAGTCCGAAATAGATGATTGCTTCAAGCTCCTCAGTGAACAATCGCAGTACATTTGCTTGACCAGAGAAGAACCACACGATGGCTGGCTATCCTTTCTCAACACACAGGTGATGTTGGCTAAAGGCGCTGTACACATCAAATGGTATCGGAAAGAGAGCAGCAAGAACATCATTCTGCACGCGACCTCTGCTCATCCAGCTGCCGTGAAACGTGCGGTTATCCGCAACATGTTCAGAACAGCAAGCAGCGTATGCAGCGGCGAAAGTGAAAGACTCGAGTCTGTGGAAATAACACGCGTCATCGCTTCCAACAACGAATACCCACTGCAGCCCAAAACCTCCAGGCGAACACGCATGAACGCAAGCAACCGAAGTCGAACACGCATTGCTTTGTGCTTGCCGTTCATATCCCGAAAGTGACCAATGCAGTTGGGCGATGTATAGCGCAAGCGCAGTTGGAAGATGATGTTGTCTTAGTGAATATACCACAAGACAGCATTAGAAAACAACTGGTTCGAAATCGATTGTACGATAAAGCTTGCAAGTTGCAAAACTGCGTTGTGTGCACAAATGGAAGGTGAGGGAATTGCTCACAAAGTGGTGTAGTTTATCAGTTGGATCGTCAAACATGCCGGGCCATTTACATCGGTGAGACAGGTCGACACTTTCAGTGCGTGTAAATGAACATCTGGCCAGCAAACGAAGACAGAGCCTCGTGAGCCCATTGGGGAAACCTAGGAGGGAGGATCATGAAGGCGAAGATTTTGAAATAAGTTGTAATATACTGGCAGTCGAGGATAACATCTCAGCTCGGAAAGCGTTGGAAGCCGCATACATTCTTCCTCGGAATCCGAAAATGAATAGCAAGAATGAACAGTTGTCGATCACAAATGATCTTAAGCCATTCCTATCATTTTGCGGTTTCTAGATAACCTACAGCTACATAAACATGTCCAACTCAGTGGACTGATCATTGTCACCATATCCTGTAGGCGACCGAGAGAGCTTTTATCGTGCTCTTCTGTGGAACTCTTGGTAAGTTGATTCGGCTGGATGCTAGACTCCGATCACTCTGGACGAATCAAACGTACGATTTGGTCAGGGAGTTTGATTGCATAAAGCGTTTGATGGAAGTGATTGAATCGCTTTCAGGCCTCTGAGGACGGCGTTTTTCCGCCGAAACGTAAGGCTCAATAAAGAGTTCCGATAAAAACCTGTTGTGGCATAAAAAAGTCAAAAGATATACTGTGAACATGCCAAGGTTCAAAGAAAGGAGGACTTATGATGTAGCCATTGTTTTTGCATAGATTCTGTGTTCATTTTTTGCTCCAAAAACACTCATAACTCGGCGTTTAGAAGCGCTTGGTAGATAATAAAAACATATTCGGAATTAGCGTTCACTGCTGTTAAGCTGCTATAAGACTCGACTGGAAAAGCTACTTCAACTAAACATGCTTCCCTTGTTAGCTGAATCAGCCAACCATCACTTACAGCACGAAAAATGATAGAATTACCTCATGCCAGAAGTCAGCTTCAGTACATTCAGAAACTGCTACTTCCTTTCTCTCCAGATGACTGAATATCTCGCTTTTGATAGAATCCTGGAGATTTTGGATTTGCCGGGTTTGGTAGAAGCGTTTTCCATGATCAAGGTAACATGTCGATCTCCAGCCCAGCTAAGTATATGGGGGATGTAATGATCTAACCATTGCTCGGCTCGAACAGTATATGTTTCATGTCGTCACGATAATCATTTGCACTCCGTTTGTCGCAAAGATCATCATCGCGCACTGTAGGATAACTCCATCCTTAGCCATCGCCACTATAACCATCGCTCGATGCCCCTGTTTTTCCCTACTGTTCTTCCTCCGATCGAATACCTTTCCATAAATTCCTTTTGGGCAAACTTTGACATTATTGGTCCGTCCCCTTTTTCCCATATGCCAGAAAATACCTACGTTTCATCAGTGTAGAATGAGATAGTCCGCAATCTTTACCGTCACCGATGGAACGCAAGTATTGCGACCGCTTGACGAGGGTGACGCACCATCTTTCCTGTACGAAAAACTTAGTGCTCTCACAAGCATGTAAAAATGGAGCACGATGAGCTAAGGTTCTGCTGATCCACGCAAAGCTGGCAGTGAAGCTCAGAAATAGTCAGATCTTTTTCATAACGCTTCTTTTCCTAGATAATTTCCTTAACAAAGGCGCCTCAAATTGCATCATGCTTCTGAAGGTCAACAAACGCCTTTTGTTTCAAATTGACAGACACCTTTTTGCTTGATCCAGGTAGTGCACGTCACCGTCTCTATTCCATGAGGCGTCTCTTCACCGTTACTTCGGAAGCGCCGCATGCTAGTTCCGTTGGCTTCCGCGGCTGTTAAAATATGGCAAGCGCGCGTATGCTCTTCATTAATTCTCTTTCTATAAACAAATTCCTGACTCGACATACCAGAGTTAACGCCTTGACCTGTATTTAGGATGACGGTTGAGATTCAGGAGTGGCTCGCGCTCCCTATCGAAGAAATCTGGCAATACGCCAACGTTCATTTGTCGTGCCGTCCCCTTTTTGCCTGTCGCAACGAACACGAGAGACCTGAAAACCACTTCTGCTGTATGCGTTCTGCATTTTCACGTATGAAGCATATAAGCCATTATTAGCAAGGCGATGGCAGTTAACAGACATGAGCTTCACTTTTCAGCATCAGCAAGTGAAGCAATTCTGTCAATGGAAAACAGCTCAAATCAGAAATTCAGAGTTCTCACAATAAACTAATCCACACCGGCAGGAATAATTTCGCCTTCAAATCTCCCTCACCACTTTTTCTCTAATGGATATATTAGGTTGAACACCAAGTTTTGCAACTTTTCTCATAACTTCCCTTTCACTCAACATGGCGCACTCAAATCTTGCCACTGAGTTGGTTATTACGTAAGCTACAAAGGCAGCTGCTTCCTATCAAATTCTGACGTCGCAGTGAGGGTTACGGTAGGTGCATGGTATGAAGGGGAAAAATTCAAAGTTTGACGGATTTGGCTGAAACTTGGCATAGGGGTGTTATCCGACATGCCGATCACGAAAACGATAGTGAAATTGCGTGATAAGGGCTTTTTTGTAGGATTACTGTGGGTGTACGATACGGGGTCTCACCCTAAACGAGGAAAAAGACGTTGATTCAACAAATGAAGGTGATATTCGCGTTTGCCAGGTCAAATAACCTTACTATGTAAAGTCTTGGCGGAATTTGAGCTTCGGACTCTTTGGTCATTGACGGTCGTCCCCAGCAGCTCTTGCGTACATCGACTCGTTCGACTTTATGAGGACGCCAAATCTCGACATGCCCATAAATTTTGTTTCTTTCTTGCTAGGCCAAAGGAGTCAACCTCTTGCAATAATTTGTAGACGAATCCGGATTACTGCGCATGATCTAGGCTGCCAAAGGCCTCATTTTAGCTTGAAACCTAAAAATTCTCAAATTTTACTAGTTTTCGAAAAATGCCTGAAACTTTTCTATTTCGTGTTCAAAATTCAGACAATTTGACTTGTAGCTCACATTGCATTCCACATGATGCCAAAGTTTGAGTGCGCCATGTTGAATGAGAGTGAAGTTATGAAACAAGTTGCAAAACTTAGTGTTCAACCTAATAAATAACATAGTGTTGAGATACGAATGGTGTTTGTAGCATCCGGCTACCGGAGTAGCTAGCGTGTATTTGCTAGATCTATCGGGCATTGGAATGAAGTCTGACGTATGTAGCTAAAGCTAAGAGCTCTTGAGTACCTGCCTGCGCGTCAACATCCGAGCATGCTCAATGCCATTATGTAGCCGTGTTGACATGATTTGACATGAGGTGCTTCAGAGGGTGTACGTAGAGTCTTACGATCGCCCTTCTTACCATAAGATGCCAAGCTGAGTTGTCTGAAGACCGTCCAATCGAAGCTGCGGTCGGTTTCGCTGCCCTCAAGTTGAAGATAGGTCGGAAGTTGAAAAAAAGAAGATAGTATGCAAAAGCGGAAAATCAGAGAAACATTTCGTAAGTTGGCGCGAGTACCACATGACGCGCAAACTGATGTGTGCCACAGACGACAAGTGCGTAAAATTGTACCATTTCGTGCGCCTGCGGATAGAAAGATAGCGATGCGACGTAGCACAAAATGCTAGCCCTAGACAGTCTACCGCTTTGCTCTTTGAATGGCAGTGGTTTACCAGCTTGATCAAACCTGCACAAATAAGCTGTTGATTCCTTGAAAGAGCAGTGCAATCATCACTGACCAATGACTCTAGATACTGCATCAAAGCGACGTAAATTTATCTTAGGTCCGCCTAAGCGGAGCTGCGCTGACCAGGGTCACTACGGGTCATAGCCTTTCGTTTTTTCCGAAGCCGAACATCAGAATAGACCACTAAACAATTTCAATTACTATGGTATACGTAAAGTTTGCAGTCAAAATCTGAGAATATATAATTGTTTCAACACTGAATATTTGCTCACTCACGAAAACTCGTTTAGTCATCAGTTGGACACACAGATACTGAAAGAACCTTGTTTTTTTGGCTAAATATATTCCAAAACCCATCTGAATGGTTCTTCAGTCAATAATTACTGAGGATATAAGCGCGTACAATTGTTATACATAATTTGTATCAAAAAATGTAGGCGGAAGTCAGTTGTGGATTTGGATATTGTTTACAAAATTCTCTAGTAAACTTGGACACAATGTTTACAACCACGATTGTTGTTGCAAAATCGCGATCAAACATATATGTACCTTAGTGTTAACAAAATTGATTTTTTCAGCAAAACCTATTATGATAAAGACGCTTTCAAAACAATTAAGGAAAACTACATTAATACCGCAACAGCCGTTGTTACTCGATTTGCGAAAGCTCAGGTACATCGAATTTGCAAGATTTACACACAGCCGTGTAACAGTAGTAGTGAGAGCAGGAGTCGAAAATTTAGGGAATTTCTAAAGATCCAAATGCGCTTAAGCAAGGAATAAGAAGTCTCATTGAATTTGAACAGCAGATTGTTCTTGACTACAGGTACACTTCCACCAAAAAAATTCCATCAAAAAGAAATCACATGTTTTACAGCACTAGTGATGAGATCCGTCGAGGATTCAAAAGATCGTGGAATCCAAAAAGCATTGCTGAACTTGCTGCCTATAAGTTTGTCGACTGGAAGACCTATCTCGAACAGGTTTCACATTTGTACCGCCAGCACCAAGCATATTTCAATCAAATTGAATTTCGATGATTATGAAAAAGATGCCGTGAGAATTCAGGTACCCGACGTTGCACATGAGATAATTAAAGGGGAAGGTTTCAAAGTTTCTGTTATGGAGGTAAGCCTTTGACTTTGTTATCAAGCATTCGTCGAATTTCGATTTTCAGCCAGAAATGTACAAAAAATTCAGCGATGAATATAGTAACCTGGATAAGACTAAACTTGTGAACTACCTATTCATGAGACTAATTTTGTCAAATGCGCAATACCTGCCATCATATGCTGATGATTTCAAAGGAATGCCTGTAAGTCGAATGAGATATAAAGATACAAAAACAAGAATCACCTCTTTGCCCCCTCCCCCTAACCCTCTCCTCATTTCTTTCTCGCTTCAACCCTCATTTCCGTCCTGCAAACATACAAAAGTGAGTGGGTGGAGGGTAGGGTTGCCAATAGGCTCCATTCCCGCGGACAGCTAGCATGAGGCAATACCTTGTAAGAAGGCGTGGTTTATCGTAAATATCTGTGCGGGACCCCCCCCCCCTTTCGCGACCTGTTGTCCTCCATTCAAAATGGGTCAGTCGTCAATTTGAAGAGCTTTATGTGTTGGGGCATTACATGCACAGAATTAAGACCTAGTAGTCTCAGTTTGCGTGGAAGGCTGGGAATGCAGGAAAGAAGTAGTGCACGAAGTTTCCAGGCTATGGAGTGATGGATTCTTTCTTCAAGTACATCCTTTGGTATTGGGCTGGCACATAAGTCATTGTTTTGCAACTTTTTCGTATAACTTTTGTCTTTTTAAATGTGGCGCATCCATTTTATGGTATTATAATGATAACTACGTGCGCAACGAATGCAGCCATTTTTGCCGAATATTATCATCGCATTTGAGAGTGACGGTGAGGCAATTTTTGAATGGGAGAGAAAAAGGAATTGGCACGGATTTGGATGAAACTTTTTTCAGGGGTTATGCGACATCCTAATCACAAAATCGAGATTAATTTCGCGTGAAAGATTCTGCTACGAAAGCATTGACTTAAAAAAATCACTGGGCTAATTTTTAACCAACAATCGATTACGTATTCTTGTTCAGCATGTCAAATTAGCCGATTCTGCTAAGTTTCGCCAAATTCTAAATGGTTCCGACTCTTTGCGTTTGACGCATTCGATTTGTTCGATTTCACAAAATCGCCAGGTTTCGATTTGACTTTGAATCACAATTATTTCTAGATGGGGTCGGTAGCCAACCTCTGAGAACGGGTAAAAGAATTTATCAACCCAAAGCACTTGACGCAGCATAATTCTAGAGGTCATGAGTTGTCAGCAACGCTAATTAGCATCTGATCAGCACCTTATGCAGAGCCAATGTGTGCATACAACACCCGGTCATCCGGGAACACGTGAGACTGAACTTCAGTAAAATTTCGAATTTGAAATTCAGTAGCAATATATTCCAACTGAAGTAAAGCTTATATTTAGGGGTTTTCGAGCACGCTGTTTCCGAATATGCTAGTGGTCTTGCACAAAACTTTAGAAATTTATTCTTTTTTTGTGAGATAGCTTCAGGTATACATTTAAAAAATCAGCGTGATGAAATTTCTTGAGTATCAGCTTTTCAAATTTACATTGTAGACGTGAAAAACTAACTTTATCTCAAAAAGAAAATAGCTTAGATTTAGCAAAACCATTAGCGTATTTGAAAACAGCGTGCTTGATAAACCTCAAATGCACGTTTTTACTTTATTCGGACATACATCGTTACCGAACTTTGAATTCGAAATATTGAGATTCAATTTCATGTGTTCCCGTATGAGGAGGAGGATGCTGTATGCACACATTGGCTCTGCATACGGTGCTGATCAGGTGCTAATTAGCGTTGCTGACAACTCATGACCTTTTTAACTACGCCGCGGCAATTTGGGTAAATAAGTTCCATTCCCTTCTTAAAACATTGCGCCTAATTTCCAGCTGAGTTTAGTCTACTCATTTTTTGTACGTCTTCATTTTTGCTAAAAACCGTAACACCTCGATTTTGACTGGGGAAAATGCGTTTAAATGCTACTCATCTGAATAGAAAGTAGTTATGGGCAAAGTTGCGAAACTCATGTGCCTTCCTAACAGAGGACCATTATTTAGTTAAAAGAAAGACAAGTGTAGTTAAGATTGATACTGAAGAAGAACCGTCTAACCTTGGACTTCATTTTGCTAGATTATAGGAGGAGGCATTGGTACTGGGAAGGAGGCGACCATATCCACTACCATATTTCTTCAAAAGAAGCGGTGAAAAACCGGAAAATGTGGCAAGTTGCGTAGGAGTAGCCAATCAACTCATGCAGTATGCTGTTGGCCGAGTCTACATTGACTACGAATATCCTAACGAAGCAAAGAAAAACCTTACAAGAGAGTTGGTGTTTTTCCAAAAATGGTTAGAGCACGGTAGAATTTTTTAAAGCTTCTAGAAAAGTTGGAGGAATGATGCAGAATGTAATCTATGCGTTCCAAGGCATGGTCAACTCGCTTGATTGGATGTCGCCTCAGACGAAACAGAAGGCCTACGAAAAGACTTTGGGCATAGGTTCGTCAGTTTTATGAATTTACTTGGTAAGAAAGTTGTAGGAAACAAGCAATACTGAATATTTTCCCTCATTTGAGTACAAAATATTGCGTTCCCCGACTGGATCATGGATAATGCTAAACTTGACGACTACTATTCGAAACTCAATCTTGCAAATTCGGACAATTACTATGAGATGTGGGCCGAACTCATAAAGTAAGCTTACGCCTTACTCGTCAGCGAATAATCTTTTAGTTGTTTGCAATTAGATTCAATATTCACCTGCAATACAAGCAGCTAACCCTCGAAAAAGCTGATCGACACGATTTCCTAAGTCAGCCTGGGACAGTGAATGCGTGGTATAGTGTAAGTATCATCGCAAAGTTTTTCATACATTTACATAACTCGATTTCTTATAGCCTGAACTGAACTCGATAACTTTTCCGGCTGGAATTCTTCAGCCACCGTATTTCCATCCCTACTGGCCTACATCCATCAATTATGGAGCTTTAGGGGTTGTAGCAGGTTTGCTCATGAACTGATCAATTGCAGTTTTATAATAGAAATTTTCTTAATCATTTGGCCAATTCATGTTTAGGCCACGAACTTACGCACGGATTTGATGATCAGGGTGTGCAATGGGATTCTCAAGGATCTCTGTACTTGAATGGTTGCCCCACTTGTCTCGGTTGGATGGACATGGGTTCAACGATGGGCTTCGCTGGAATGGCTGAATGCGTGATAAATGGCTAGTCCAAGATTTTCTATGTAAAACCTATTCATTTCATGACATGAAATTCAGAATATGGAGATTTTTGTCCTTTGGACCCAAACAAGTACACTCCGAATTGCTTGAACGGTCAGCTCACACAAGGAGAAAACATCGCTGATAACGGAGGTGCTTACAAAACAATGTAATTTAAGATAATAGGTTGGAAATTTAGGCATACATGCTGCATACCGAGCGTATCGTGATTACATGGAATTGAATGGTCCGGAACCACTGCTGCCCGATCGTTTTTATGAGCAGTTCACACACGATCAGCTCTTCTTCCTCGGTTTTGCTCAAGTAACCACCTTTTCGCGTTTTGCATATGTACAATATGTTGATAATTCTTGCTGCAGGTATGGTGCGAGAAAAGACGAACCGATGATTTGCTCTATCAACAGCTGATGGTCGATGTACATTCACCAGCGATGTATAGAGTATTCGGCACACTTCAAAACTTCCCAGCATTCAGAGTGGCTTTCAACTGCCCAGCAAAATGCCGATATGCGCCAAAAAATCATTGCAATGTATGGGTACCTAATAAGGCACATTAATGCATTTATTCTTTGATCAAAGTTAGGTCTGATAGAAAACGTTTTAAAAGGATAGTTATTCTCTCACACTTCTGTTTCATAATTCGTGAGCCGTACACATCAACAATAAAGTCGTATACCATAGAATCTTTGAAATTGACCTTGAGATATAACTGTAAGGCAAGGGACATACCTCACGCGATTTCAGTCGCCACGCGATCTGGCAATTTGCCAGATGTTTTCAAATTCAATACTGGTAGACCTCAAATGCACAGCATGTATACTTTCGTAGGTTGATAAAATGCCCCATCTTCCGTACATTCGGAAACCCCGTACGATGAGTTATGAACATATTGCCAAATCGCGTCGCGAGTGAAATCGCGTGAGGTATGTCCGAGGCCTAAAACATGTCTTCTTGGCCATCTTTGGAATTAAAAGGAATTTACGAATAGAAAAGAAGTAAACTTTGTAAACATTCTTTTGCAAAAAACGACACTTCTGTTTCCACATTTCGGCTAATGGGCAACTTGTCCTTGATTATTTCCACGAATTTAAGACTGTGTTCGTTATCGCTTAACGATTAGTTGGCGAGCATTGATATGTGGCACATACGAAAACTCGCGGTTGTCCTTCGGGCAAAAAAAACTGGTGTAGCTTTCCTGAGGGAAATTTATCAAAACGCTTCAAGAATCTCATCTGAGCACAAAACGCTTTCTCTTTTCGAAGTCGAAATTCTATGGTATTTCAGTTCTTGACAAGGAGATCTCTTCAAAAAGGATTGAAAGAAAAGAAAACCTGTTAGCGTTTGACTGATTGGAAGAGTAATTAGAATTTATGTGTAAGGTCTCAAACTATATGAGTTCGATGGAACTTTGCGTAGCAAGTAGATAACATTCTATGGTAGTTAAAGCATTAGTTGCGCAAACGTATAGAGCGTATGGAAATTTTTCTGGGTGTTGCTTTCTGGCGAAGCGCATAGCCTTGATATCAACCCATATGTCTTCCCTCAACATTACGTTTATTACGTGGACTGGTAAGGCGCCGCCTCGCTTCGAGCTTGCGCCATGTTGCGGGCGCATCGTTCGGAGTGACGTGACGCTCAAGACAATGTGGCACAGGTTATCCCATTGTTCTTGTTGCCACACCACGCCAAAGATACGCCCGCAACGTGGCGCAAGCCCGAAGCAAGGCGGCGCCACAACAATCCACATAATCCACGTCATGGTGAGGGAAGATACGTGGGTTAATATCGAGGTATGTACATATGGATCAACAAACTCAGACGGATACCAAATGATTTTTTGTAGATCAACATTTATACAACTCTTTATATCTGTAACCGATAAATTTCAAATATTAGTACCTTGGCATATTTCGATGTACTAGAATATTCTGATTGCCTGAGATAGACAAGTTACTTTATCGTTCTTGAGAGTAAAAGCACAAAATTTTACTAGGCTGTACCAAAAGTTCGTTCGCACCATTTTCAAAAATTCATATTTGCTTTTTTCAACCGGTTTGCGTGTTTCCATTTTCTAAAAGGGTAAGTCTTTTTTTTTCATAGCGGTATCTTAGCGGCATTCTGTGAGCATACACTGCATAGATATATGCGGTAGAAGAAAAATACTCGAATTTTTAATTTTCTGTGTAAGGTCGTAAAAAGACCTGCAGTAAAAATTGGAGCAGTCAGTACTATAGGTTCTTCCGCCGGCCCTTTCTAGCTAAGCAAAGTTTGTGCTGATTGAGCGTATCTATAAAATTATGATTTTCCCAAAGAATGCCAAAAATAAACCAAATTCGCCCTTTTGTATTGCTTGCTTGAAAAACATAACTTTTCGTAGACACGCTCAATCAGCACAAGTTTTGCACATTTAGAAAAGCTGGTGGAAGAACCTACAATACCGACCGACTGCTCCGACTTTTAATGCAAGTTTCCGATTTTTTATGACCCTATACAGAGAATTCAAATTTTGACTAATTTTCTTCTATCGCTCCTATCTATGCATGCATACGCAAGAAAAAGCCGCTAGGCCACTATGAAGAGAATGAGTTGCTCTTTCAGACAAAAATGAAAACCACAAATCGGTTGAAAAAAGCAGAAGTTATGAATTTTTGAAAATGGTGCGAACGAACTTTCGGTACAACCTAATATATTCCCTCATTCATACAAGTAAACGCATAATAGTGCAGTCCTTAGCAACTCAACAATTGAAAAAATATTCAGAAAGCTCCAACGAGACCTCAATAAATACAGAGTTGTGCAACAGATAAATAAATGGCTTGCATGTAAAACTAGCTTAGGAAGCCATATAACCGATAACTTTATACCATACGTGCAATGTGCTTCAATACAGGCTCTCCTTGCTTCGGTTGAGCCGAATATGGAGGATGGATCTGCTGCCATCTTTTGATACCTTCCAAGTTTACATTCTTGGAAAAACTATCTCAGCTCGATTGACATCTAAGATTTTACTAAGTGCTAATTACCTTTGTAATAATTTACAAACTCTATACTGTGTTGTGCATAAGGAATCGAAGGAATCCGCAGACAGATGCTACTCGGAATATGCTTATGCATTTACTTTCGATCGTTGTTGTTCGTCACTGAAAGAATTTTCTAGTACCACTGAATACATTAGATGTAGCAGCAAACAACGCAGTATCAATATCTCTACGCCCTAAACTAGCTGAATCACTACTTACTTTGACTCGGAATGCAGAGCTTTTCAAAAAACAAGATTTACTACTTCGCCATGTTTGACCATTACAATGAAGAATTTAGAAACTCTTATTTACGAGAAAGAACCAAAAATTATAATGAGTTGAGCTTCATGATCAACCAATCCTGTCGCTTAACGTTGCTTCTATTAGTCACAAATTTTCTATTGCAGAGAATTTGGGAATGCTCATTTGTGTTATACAATGAGCTCTTTAATTGTGTTCTTCTTAGCCTATTCAGTCTCGGGAAGGATTGTGAGCAAGGTGACCAGTATTTTTGCTTCTGATAATCTATAGTATTATTTCAGGAAATTCAAGCACGAGATCTCAATACCAGTGGTTATCCGGATTCCTTTCGCCAAGATAGAAAAGAGAAATTTGGTATGAATTGCTGTTACCGGTATTTTTCTCCTGTTTTTTGACAATGCAAATCGAGCTAACGAGCATTTCTGCTTGAAAAAATAGGGTTTCTACACCAAGCCTAGGAGTAGCCCAGGCGCAAACGTTCAAAGGTCAGACTGTCTGAGCTTTTATAACCTTGGTCTTGACCCCAATAACTTCTTCAAAATTCAGAAATCGCTCCATTCTTAGTACAAGGTATTGTGCTCTAGCTTTTGTAACCTTGTTCTTGACCCCAATAGGAGTTCTTGACCTCAATAGGAGTAGCTCAGGCGCAAACCTTCAAAGGCTACAGTGAAAATTTGGAGCCGAATGTCTCACTTTTAGAAAAATTGTGGCTTTTTCAATTATAATTGTAAAGTGCGGTCAGAGAAAATCGGGCGTACAATTCGCAAAAATAAAAACTCTCTAGACAAAGATGATATCATCCAGAATATCACACTCTATGTAAAGAGGAGGAAGAAGAGGTCGTTTGAGGGCTTTTATGGGAAGAGGGGAATCGTTTTCGAAAAACTTGTGCCTGACCTCTTGCACAACTCTGATTACAACTCCCTTCAAGTTTTGTTCCAGTGGCTGGTAAACGGCTTTTCTTGTAGCAGCATACCAATAGTATATGCCTTTAGAAAAAAACCTCACGAAAGGGTTCTGCGAAAAGTAGAGAAAAAAATCCAAAACTGTTCACTTTCTTGGGCCTGTGGTAGGCTTAAAAGTCCCAAATAGTGAAAATTTGAATTCTACATGCACTGAGTAGCTAAGTTTCTCTGCAAAAAATGCATGCAGAATATTTTAATCTTAAACCTACAAAAATGAGCGAAGCTTTGGCAATTGCTTTATTCTTGAGAAATTTTTAATCCATAGAAGGTCAGCATCAAGTGACTATTTTGGAACGTCGATCTCTTAGTTCAGATATTTTCGAAAAATCTACTCAATTTGCAGTAGGTAAACAATATTCATCGCGTAGCACATGTTTTCAAAAGAATTTGTTGCACCTGAAACTGTAGCCAAAAAAAGCTGAGAGCAATGAAGTCTCGAATTCGAGTGTGAGTGTGCAAAAAGCAGGGCCCGTAGTAAACCCCACCTGGTTGTCACAACATAGAGGGACTATGTCGTGATAGCTCGGAGTATCTCGCAAGACTATAGCGAGCTATCCGCAGGGCGCCGCAAAACGACCGCCTCTGCGCGTCATCGAACCGCTGATGGCCGCGATAACAGCGCTCACACGCGCTGCGCTATGAGTACAGATATTCCGTGAGGTATCTGCTTAGCAAGTCAAGAATGTAGTATACTATTCTTGCCAGAGCAGGTAAATCAATTAAAGGAAATCCAATAACTGACTATCCTCGCGTGTTCGCTCCTATGTCTTCATTTTCAATTTGTTATCTTATGTTTGCATGCATTAATAGGGTAGCGCAGTTGATCTATATCTGTTACAGAATAATGCTTATCTTTGTGCACCGTGCAGTGAGAAGGAGCGCCAATATTCGCTGCGGAAGGCTGCACCCTATCCGACTTTTCCATCAGAATCAGCGCATATTGGCGCGCAAGTTTCGGATGGAAGAGACGCATCTAAGGAGGATATGCCGAGTGCTCGCGCCGCTTATAGGAGGGCGTGAAACTCCAAACTGGTCCGTTAGTTTGGAGAACAAGGTCAGTATAAATTTCCAAGATTTGTTTATCCATGGTCCTTGTTAATGAAATGTTAATGTTATGCACATATGTGTATGACCAAGTATTTCGCATGCATGACTCAAACGTGTGGAAGATCTCCTAGGAGACATGTGTATGTTAGCGCAGTGCGAGTGAGCGGGGATCGCCTGGGTATCTAAGGCCCCGGTCAGACTTCACGCGACTTAATCGTCGCGATCTAATCGCCAAGATTTCCATTCATTTTCATTTCACATTCAAAAATTTCGGGCTGGAAAAGTATCACAACCGAATGCAAGTTGATCGGCATGGAATGATGTTGTAACAGTTGTCTCGTCGCAACTGAGTCGCGACGATCAAATCGCATGAAGTCTGCCCGGGGCCTAAGGGGATCAAATCCTCCACGGGGAAAATTCTAGCAAACAAGCAGAGATGTGCCTAGTGGATGTTTACCATGTTAGCTTAAAGAAGGGCTTCTGAACTGAATATAAAACTAAATGTCTTCTCATTCAGGTTGTGATAGCGTTGCGTTACCTCTCAAGCAACGCCCATCAAGAGGTTTTGGCGGACACCATTGGTGTCAGCCAGAAAACAGTGTCGAATGCGGTGAGAGTGGTTGTCCGCGCTCTCGACCATCCCCTAATCGTGCGGCACTTCATTCGCTGCCGACTAGGGGACGAGGAGTTCTGCCGAATGAATGCCGCCGCCTTCGCCCGAACCGGAGCATTCCCGAACGTCATCGGTGCAGTCGACGGAAGCTGCATACGGTTACAGAAGCCGGCACATTGGCTGGCAGTACTACTGCCGCAAGGGCTTTACAGCCCTGAATGTGCTGGCTGCTGTCGACGCCCGCGGACGGTTTGTATACATAAACGCAAACTTCCCGGGGTCTGTTCATGATGCCAGTATCTTCGCCTCTTCGCAGAAAGTATGCTTACGAGGAGAATGTAGTTCCACATGGCTACAGCTTTATTGGAGACTCCGGATTCGCGAATGGGAATGATATTATCACTCCCATTAAAAATCCGACAACCAGGAAGTCTCCTACAACCGACGGCACTCGAAGATGCGAGTCATCATCGAGTGCACATTAGGCCGATGGAAGCAGAAGTTCGCAATCTTGAAGGATATGATCAGTGTGGCCCCGAAGCGTGCAGCTAAAATCATTATCGCATGCGCAGTGCTGTACAACATGATGTTGGCCATGGGATGTCTGCGTCCAAGGGGACTTGGGCGCAGACTAGCTGTATGCCATCATCCACTAGAAGGCTGCACAGACATTCGTGGTTATTTAGTGAGTTGTATGTAGTTATTTTGATTAACCAATATTTTGTATTATGTTTGTTGCAACTAACAGTGTGTTTATGTTAGACGTGTGCTGCAGTTAAGTTTATTGAAGTAATATATTTTGTACAGAACATCAACAGACAACATTAACATATTCAGTGAATAAATAAACTAGAGGAATTCCAGTCACGTGCCAGACCGTGACAGCTCCGTGTCAGTTCCTTCAGTTCGTGTTCAGTGAGCTGGAAAAGTATTACAACCGAAATGCAAGCTGATTTGCTTGCAATGAACTAGTAACAGTTGTCTTTTGCGATTGAATCGCGACGATCAAATAGCGTGAACTCTGTCCGAGGCCCAAGCCAAAATGGCCTCAAGCGGAACCAGAAAATGAGCAAAAATGATATTAAAACAAAACAAAACAACGGATGCAACATCGAGTAAATGATAAAATAGACTAAGAAATGAAAACCTACCTTTTCCCGCGACTGCTTCCCACCACGGTCGATCCACCAATATAGTGCGCGAGGGCCAGTGAAACTGCAAAAAGGACTACTTAAAGATAAGCTGGGATTGCGAAAATTACGGACGACGATAATCACATTACGTTGAAATAATGAAACAAAGTATCGACAACATACAACATGGGAGACTGACAAAAACTATTATACAATAACATAGAAGATTCTCACACGCATTCACCCGCAATCAAGCATACTGAAGCTATGCATATCAATTCAAAAAACAAAAACTCTCAGCACTACCCTGCTCCTTTCTCAATAAGCATTCCACCCTCGATGAGATTGCTACGGCAAATGCAATTCAAAATTTTGCCTTAAAGATGACAGGGTGGTCCAATTGTGGTCCATGTGCGTCTTTTTGATATAGACAAGCCCTTCTGGGCCTCGGGGCAGCCTCAAGCCTCGATTTGACGGAGCTGCCCCGGGAAATAGCAAGGGGCAAGGGTCAAGCCGTCTTTCAGTTACCCTTGCCCCGCAAAATGTGAAAAAACAAACAGAATGGTCTCTTATAACTTCTCCGTTCACTTTCGGCTGACGCCGTGCAGCTGCCGCGTAATAGGCGTGACTGCACAAACAGGCGTCACCCGAATGACGCCTATTGCTTCAAAGCACGTTAAAAGCTGAAATATGCGAATAGTGTAAGGCAAGCTATACACTAGCTGATGGGGCTTTTTTAGCCCATCAGACAGTATATAGCTTTCCCATCGTTTTGCTCTCCTCTAAAAACCAGCCAGACGGCGGTCAACAATGTGATCATATGGTGTGAGGAACACTCCAATGCGCAAGATCGAAGGTTTTTACTTTCATAAACGACAACAAAGACGCAATGTAACTGTACACAATGATAGAAAGAAAGAATGACATTAAGAACACTGCATGTAAAAGTGAACAAAAAATTAGGCTGGATAACCGAGCTGTGCGCATGCGCAATTGATTATTTTTATTTTTTTTCACCACTGTATTGACGGCATTGCGCATGTGCGACCTATTACGAGGTTGGCGTAGTCGAGCTCTAGTCTTGCGCCATGTCTCTGCGTCTCCGTGATAGACAAAGTATTTCGCCGTCTCGTCCGTCACGACATGTCGCGATATGTCGCGACATATAGCGACAAAGTGGGACTACCCTGGCGCTTCGCATTGATTGCGTCCGCCAGCAATGATAAAGGATAGCCGCCTGCCTCGCTCCATGGTACTCAGCACATGTCACAGCAGACTCCGAGCTATACGTCAGCACATACGGGGGGTTTACTACAGGCCCTGATCTTATTCTTATGAATTCGATGAGAAAGGGTTGTTTGGAAAATAGTTTCAACGGACATATTTTTGCACCAACCCAATAGAAGTCACTATGAACCGATTACACAGACATACCCTTCGCGCTCGGGTGGGGGTGTCGTAGGCTACTTTTTGCCATTGATCGATGTCGAATTTATCGCTTTCTTGCATAGTTTCAACCACGAGGCTGGGAGTATCCCAGGGGTAGGTGAGCATTCATGAAAATTGTTGACAAGGCCGACGGGAGTTGGGTTTGATAGCTAGTGCTATAGAAAGATGAATGTTTATGCCAGAAATCAAGCTGTACAACGTTTTCTGTTATAGGGTCTGGAAGCAACAGCACTGCATTTATTGAAGACGATGTTAAAGTGAGTTGTCCTACATTATATACCGATTAAATTTGGCAATTTGTAGCCGCTTTTATAAGCGAGAAGTGTTTCTGAAAATTTTTCAAAATTATTAAAAATATTATTAAAAATTGAAAAAGATCCGTGCCGTACGTTATATTATGACGACTTCCTTGGTTGTGATTGATTTAAAGTGAGGGTTAGCTTCAACGACAAAGGGGAGAAGGGATGTTGATCCCTTCAAGAAAATTCAAAATTTCGCATTCATCCGAAGAAACTGTTTTGTTAATTCCAGCACTTTCACCCATGTTAAGGGAATGCAGCCAATATGATCGATAGTATGTAGCCCAATCGTTACGTAAGTAAAATCTTTTCAAAATCTGTATTCACGCTATGGTTTTTTCTCAAATTTGAAAAGAACGCTGAGGCTCATTGAACCCCGATTCTTACTTTTCGCCACTATTTACATCCAATAAAGGAGATGGTTCAGCGGAATGGCAGGCGCACAGCCTACTTACTTTTGTACCGTGTAGTATTCGAAAGAGCAAAAAGTACACCCGCAGGCTGCCTCACTAACAGACTGTTGCAATGGCTAGCTCAAAGGCAGTGTTTGGGCTAAGAGTCAATTCTGGAATTTTGTGACCCGCGCCTTTTTGCTATGCTGCATCCAAAAATGCTCGCTGGAAAGCGCAAAAACGGCGAAAAAGGACTCTAACGCAGGAAGAAACTTAATAGATGGTCGGGGTCTTTTCCACTATAAAATCACGCTCCCAGCTTCCGGGGCGATCTCCTCGGTTCCTGTTTCGTCAAGCGTTCGCACTTGGCCGGTGGCGATGTCATAGCGGTTAGCGGAATCGAGGGGATCGCTTTGAAAGCAGGGCGCGTGGAATCACAGCGGGAAGACCTCTTGGTGCCCTTTCGCCTTTTTCGCGCTCCCCAGCGTGGATTTTTGGATTTAGCATGGCGAGTAGGCACAGAGCAAAAACCTAAAAATCGACTCTTTGTGCGAACACTGCCTTCGAAGCTTGTGCTCACTCCTGCGCACTTGTCCTCCGGCTTTTCTCCATGCCTAAGCAGTAAATGAAAACTAGTGGGCCTGTAGAGAACCTATAAATAGATACGTCCACGGATGCAAGAAAATTTTAGATTCCATAAAAATGTTTTGAGCCTGATTCGTCCTTTTAGCTCTGGGTAATATTTGGTGAAAGCGCAGCCATCAATAACGAAAAAGGGGAAAAATGTGATTTCAGTTGGCTTCTAATTCCACAGTTTGGACTTTTAAAGCGGGATTCCTGAGGTGGACAAAGAAGGAGTAGTGCTTTGTCTTGAGTGCAAAAACGGATACTTAATTCATCTTTGAAACAAAGTTAACATGTTGGAACATAACCATTTCACTTAGGTAGCCCAGTGCTTCGAATCTTCAGAATTCGCTCAAACTTTGTCTACAGGGGTCAATTGACATGCTAATTATAGATAGCATACGAATATCATGTTATCACCATTAGAATATCCAGGGTTGGGGGGAAAGTCCTCGTTGATTCTATTGTAATGACGAGCAAGATGATTATATGATTCAACTGTCTGCTACATAAAAATGACGACTTCGCAGTTCGAAGATTCTTCCTTTGACGCAAGCAAAAGCTCGGAAACGCTTGGGAACGCTGTTCATGGTGGTACGGAGGTGCTCCTCGACTACCTCCCACGCATTGTAAAGAGCACGTCGCAGAGACTCCACAGATTTGCGTGGGTGAGCTCAGGCTTTGGCCTAAAAACTAACTACATGCTGTAGTCGACCGTATTCAGATCCAGCAATAAGGAACTCCGCAGAAGTGATGAAGCCCTTAACTGTTTCGGAACCATGCTTGAACAACCTTCGCTTTGTGCACAGCTGCGCTATCCTGTTGGGAGCGCCACGCTCCCGGCAAAATTGGTATTGGTCCAGGCCAACAATTCTTTCCTCGAGATGTTATCCACATGCGTAGCGGTGTTCACCTTGATGCCCTAAGACGCAAAAATCAGTAGCATCTTGCTGTCGCAAGCGATCGCCGCGCAATCCATCACAGAAGCCGGATGGAACTTTCTTTCTGCGAGTCAACCCTTGCTTCGGCTTCTTGGGGCGTATATTTGATGATTCTGTTGTTTCGGCGATCAAAAACCTTCACTGTGAAGATTTTGCGTCAAAAATGTCGTTGTCCGTCGTCGGTGGCGTGCCTTGGAGAGACGTCAAGCAGTCAATGGCATCTGCGTAGTCATTTAAGTTTCGTGTCTTCCCGAAAAGCAAAATTTTAAAAATACTGAAAAGCTTCATCCAAAGGTCCTGTTCCGCGATGTCAGAGACTGTCCTATCAGAGATGAACAGCTTTGAAGCCAGTCAATCAAGTTTCGCCAAAGATTGCGACGAAGGCATTGGCGAACGATTTTCAGATTTTTGTAGTGCCCACAGTAGCCGATTTACCACTTCTACAACAGTCCTGTACGCTGTTCATAACCTGGAAACGACGATGGGTGGAAAAGACGCTGCGTGAAATTTGGGGGATTCGCGCGATCTGCTAATCAGCCATTGTCTCCTCGTGCATCTCTGCCAACAACGCTTGCTTCATCTTAGAAGGCATATCTCCGGTAGAGATAAAGCTAATAGTTCAGTTTTTGAAGTACTTGTACACAATAGTATAAAGGAAGCAAACACATAATTTGTAGCAAAGGGATGGCTAGTGGTGAGGCTGCTTTAGTGTTGCCACGCGGGTCTGTATGGTACCTCAGACTTGAGTAACGAAGCTTTATTGTGATACAATTACGAATAGTAATTATGCAGTGTGAAGTGTCTCCAGAAACGTGTCAATCTTCGGACTACTTCCCAGGATACTTGTGATCCTTCAGAGACTTCTTGGTGCACAGGAGACTTGATGCTTCTGGTCCAGAGTACTTATTGGATCTAATGTTATCCGGAGAAGACTTGCTGAGGAAGATTGCCTATGGAGACTTGTCGTGCTTACAGCGAACTACTTGTAGGGAATCCTCTGGGTGAGCCGGAGACTTGTCGTCCTTCCAGCAGGCACTTGTGGAGAGAATAACCTCGACCTCACTCATCCATCGGTATTTATACCCTTGGAATTGTTTACTTGCGAAGTCATTGTTGACTGAAGAGAGTACTGATAAGGTGATGGAAGTGAGGTTGCAATGACTTGTCCGGCTGATCCTCGTGAGACTCTTCTAACCACTACGATATAAGGCAAAACGAACACAAATGAACAATAAATAATATATACAGTATGTACAATCTACAGCATCGTTGGCGACACCGCTAAAACTTCTTATAGTCGACTTTGGCGACACTCCCGCCATGCCAGGCTTCCTCCTCTCAATTGCTTCCTTTGCTGTAATTGATTGCTTTCCGTGGCCTCGTATAGTACCGTTTGCACGTTTCTTCGGAAGAGTCGTTTTCACTTGTCTTGTTCACAGTTCTGTCTTCTGGTTCGAGAGGCACCAAAAAGGTTTACTGGTCTCGTATCTGTTTTCGAGATGGTAAAATCACGACTGCTTTTCTTTCTTGTTCGTCTTCACTCTTCAACAGCTCCGTAATGCGTCCCATTCTCCAGGAATGTCGTGGCTGTGTGGGGTCTGTGCTTAAAACGCAGTCGTCCTTTTGGTGCGAAATAGACTTGTTATGATCAACTTGTGATTTGTGTTCCTCTCGAAGCGCAGTAAGATGTTGTGTCCTCCACAGATTCCAAGACTTGTTGGTGGACTTGAATGAATTTTCTAGCGCTTGGATTGTTTGGGACTTTGTGCAAAGGACAACTTGCTCTTCGAATGAACGATAAGATGGATCCTCGTCGTGCAGATTGACTTTGTCAAATGGTAGTCCAGTATGATGTTGTTTTGTACGTTTTTTGAAGTTGGTGGGTCTTGTGATTGTCTCTTTACACGAATCTGAGCCCTTGCAGACAAGTGGCCTTGTGTTGAGTGAAAATTCGATCTCGGCGAGCGTAGTTGACTGAGCTATTGCTTTGTTGTCCGGTAAGTCTGTGACGTGTTGTTTCCAAGGTAGTTGGACATAGTAACCATCTTCGCGTTTTTCAACAGTTTCTATGAAGTGCTGTAGGACAAGCTTGTCTGTCTGTGCTTGTTCATCATTTCCTGATTGTCCAAATCCTTCTGTACCATCTGCATCCAAGGGCCAAAACTTCTCCCTGTCTTGTTCGTATTCGCTATCATCTTCTGCAGTTGATACCGCGTTTACTTGACCAGTAACCAATTGACCAGTTGACTAGTGACCAGTTGACCTTGACCAGTAGTATCCAGTGACCAGTATCCATCCCATTTGTCTTCTTCTTTGAGGTGATTAAGGCTTGTTGACGGCGACTTGAGCTGTTTGAGCTGCCCTGTAATCAAGTAGCCCAACCGTGTTTCGATAAAGTGCAGACCAGAGGGCAAGCAAAGCTGTGGCTTGTTACCGTTGATGAATGCCCATAACTTGTCGCAACCTAACAATATCTGCGGTTTCGTCTTCTTCTTATTTCCAAGCCTATCGAGCGGTATATGGTTTTCGCAAAGGTGCTTGATGTCTTCAGTGGATAGCGAGGGAGTTTCGAAGTTTTTAGCTATTATGTCATATGTGTGAAGATCAATCGTGACCTGTTCTCCTTCCACGTCCCAAGCCTTCAGTTGTACCACTTGACTGATTTTCTCTTGTACTTGTTCGGAACCAAAGGTATGTATCTTTAAATTTTCTTTTCGGATTATCGGAAGGTGCAAGTCGTCGGCGAGAGCCTTGTCTATAAAGGAAATCTCGGCGCCAGTATCGAAAAGTACGCAAACTTTCTTCAGTGTGTTGCGTTCTGGATCTAAAACCGTTATTTCGCCTGTAGGCAAAAATGTTGTCTGATTGACATCGTTAGCTTCCTGCTTTGACCGTGATTCGTATACGACTGCATTATTGCTGTCTTCTACTTCTTGCGTCAGGTGATTCACCTTCTTGATAAACTTTGATTGGGCCTCAGCCTGTCGTGGTATGCGTCTGTTGTTGTTGTGCTCCTGGTTTTCTGCTGATTCTGCTGCTTCGGCTTTGAATGATGATGGGTTTTCGACGTGTGGTCTTGTGAAGCAGCAAGACGTGTGGTGCAGCCCTTGACAATTGAAGCCTCTCCGTTTCTTGCATTGAACGGTCGTATGCTGTGGCGATGCGCATATCAGGCACAGGTGGTGCTCGCGTAAGTATTGTGATCGTGCTTTTGGTGAGGAGTATTTTGTACACAGGATGGACTTGTGGTTTTCTCCGCAGTACATACATGCTCGGACATACTCCTGTTTGAAATCCTGCACTTCTAAAGGGCTGACTTGTGCTTGCCGGGTATCCATTCTATGTAAAAATATCATTTCTTCGCATGCCAACACTTCATCAATGAGTTTTAGAAGATCCCGCATTAGAAATGGTACTTGTTGATCTAGTGCCTGCTTTTTCGTCAAAACACTGCGTTGGATGTGGATAGGAAATTTTAACAACACTTGTTTCTGCATCCACTGATTGTCAACATTTTCTCCCTTACGTTCCAGTTGTGACACAATTGCTTGTAGCTGTTCAAACAACGGTCTCTGGTCTTTCAGTGAGGACGATCGAGGGAAGGATTGTTCAAATCTCTCGATAAGCCGGTGTACAAGCTCATTTCGATTTCCATACTTTTGCGTGAGGAAGTCAACTGCCTTCATGTAGTTTCCACTTGTGACTTGAAACCTTTTGACTGATTCGCGTGCTTCTCCCTCTAAAGCACTGAGAAGATAGTTGAACTTGTAGAGTTCCGGCAGATCTTGTGAATGAACATTGCTGTTAAAGAGTTCCCAGAAGTTGTCCCATTCCCATATATCTTCACCAAATGACGGAATGGGTAAAGTGGGAAGTTCCATCTTCTTTGCTTGAATACTGCACGCATGTGTATTAATACTTGTCATGTCGTTGCGTGCTTTCAAGACACGGCTTCGAGCTTGTAGCGTGAGCCCATATTCGAAAGCATTTGAGAGTGAAGACTCTGCTTTGGAGATGTATTCTTCAAAGTCTTCTAACTCCTTCGCTTCCGGCTGATTCAGGGTGGAGTACAATGATGCGTACTCCTGGACTGTGTGCTCCACTTTAAAAGTGGCAGCTTCAAGAGTGCCGATGGCTTCTTCAAGTCTTTGGTTATAGCCAGAGGTAGTGAGTTCATGTAACTCTTCCTCTTTGAATTGCGATATGACTTTGTCCAGCTTGTTGCAGTACTGGGTAAGCATTCGCTTGGAAACTATAAGCTTCGCAGACATTTTGAGTGCAAAACTTGTGATGCGACTTGTAGAAGAAGTCAAGCTGAGGTACTTGTGCGTTTGTATGTCTATGCTTCAACTCCTTGCGATCGAAGCTCAGCGTTTCAATTTGGCCGATGCACCATGTAGCAAAGGGATGGCTAGTGGTGAGGCTGCTTTAGTGTTGCTACGCGGGTCTGTATGGTACCTCGACTTGAGTAACGAAGCTTTATTGTGATACAATTACGAACAGTAATTATGCAGTGTGAAGTGTCTCCAGAGACGTGTCAATCTTCGGACTACTTCCCAGGATACTTGTGATCCTTCAGAGACTTCTTGGTGCACAGGAGACTTGATGCTTCTGGTCCAGAGTACTTATTGGATCTAATGTTATCCGGAGAAGACTTGCTGAGGAAGATTGCCTATGGAGACTTGTCGTGCTTACAGCGAACTACTTGTAGGGAATCCTCTGGGTGAGCCGGAGACTTGTCGTCCTTCCAGCAGGCACTTGTGGAGAGAATAACCTCGACCTCACTCATCCATCGGTATTTATACCCTTGGAATTGTTTACTTGCGAAGTCATTGTTGACTGAAGAGAGTACTGATAAGGTGATGGAAGTGAGGTTGCAATGACTTGTCCGGCTGATCCTCGTGAGACTCTTCTAACCACTACGATATAAGGCAAAACGAACACAAATGAACAACAAATAATATATACAGTATGTACAATCTACAGCATCGTTGGCGACACCGCTAAAACTTCTTACAGTCGACTTTGGCGACATAATTAGTCTACAAGAATAATCCGAAATACAATGGCATCAAAAACTGTTTAAGGACTTTCCGCCAACCCTGTAAATGTATAGAATGGTACCATTCGTCAAAACGAAACAATCTCTACAAAGTGACTATCAGAATCTACTTAAACGTTTGGTCCGCCTAGAGTTGCCAGCTAATCAAATCATCGCCCGGAGAGAATCTTACGAGTCCCTTAGTTCGTCATCACACAGTAGACAAATAAGAACATTCCTGTGCACTTGATGTGACTCTCAAGTTCACTTGGGAAAGAAACGAAGGTCAAAAAAGGCAAAGCATAATTGTGAAATTGCAGTCTGGTATAGCCCTTTGCTTTGATTATGAAGGAAAGGTTTTAGCTTTAAGGTACCCTTCCTACGGACATTATCTTGCATGAACCTGATAGATAGTCGAGGAAATTTGATAGACTCTCTTTCTGTCCGAGCAACTTGGTGTACGTTTGAGAATCAAAGCCAAAAGCCAGGAAGGAACTGAATTTTTCTCAAAGCACAAGTGCAAATTCTGCTCAAAACCAACCCTGCTCGTATTTGGCGCACAACTGTCGGCTTACATGCGTTTGAGAAAGACTCAACAAGAAGGCTCGGGTTCCTACGCAACAACCTGCAAGTGTCCGACAAAATAGGGTCTTATCAACATAAATAGTTCAGTCACGGCTGCACTTGCAGATAACTTTGTTATCTGCATATTATTATTTTTGGTACACAACGCAAAATACTGTGCAACTCTTTCTCTACCGGAAAGAATAAAATCTCCACTACCTTTATTCATGCTGATTCGATTAGCAGCAGTTGCGCTGTTGTTATTTAGAATTTAAAGGACAAAGGAGTTGGCGTCTTCATTCCCTCTGCGGGCATGCGCCGAACGCCCTCTACCTCAATTGTGAAAAACCTGAATGTGTGCGAGTACAAACCTTTAAGATTTGTTGAGATCTTCTTCATCAATGCCTGCGACTTCCGGCAAAGTTACGCAAAGATGGCGATTATATAGTGAAAAATTCGCTTACGAATTCAAAATATTGGTGCGTTAAAGATACAGGATATTTTTGCGTGAGCTCTTTCCGGAAATTAAAAAAAACATTGAAGTGTGATTGATCCGACATCTCCTTTTTAATTCAGCACCTTGGCAGGGTTAGACTGATCTAATAATTTTTGTAAAACTAGCGGTATTGAAAAATTTTACATCATTTTCATGCTCATCACAATAGCGTTGTTTTATGAAATTTACTCAGAAGCTTCAATGTGATGCGCGCGTATTGTTTTTTTCGCTTTTAGGAAACAAGACGAAATCTTAACTACGATATCATACTCATTTTCACGACGCAAAATTCCACACACTCGCATTTTCTCCCAGAAAAGACCGATTTTCCTTTCTTTCAAGCATGCGTTGATGCATGAATTTTTTTATGAGAGTTTCATGGCTCATAATTCAAGGAAACTGACTGTGGCTACTCTGGCATCGAATCGCCAGTTGAGCTATTAAAAAAAAATATTTACGTATTCCTACAGTTTATTTTTGCTGCACTTATAGGGATGTTGTTCGTTGAAAACAATCAGAATCTTGCAAACCACTATCGAAAATTAAGTCCAAAATAAAACTTTTAAAAGCGTTTACATTTTAGTCCATGCAGCAAAAAAAGTTTTCGCACTTGCATACATCAACCTTACAGTAAATGCTATGAGACTTGTCCATGGTGATTTCAGAATTTTGTGAGCCGATTGTCGTTAAGACGGTGCAACACCTCAACTGACGTTTTGCTGGTAAATAAGCCGTTGCTACACAATAGATGGAAAAGGTCCAAGGTTGTTTCATTTACAAGTCATCATAAGTTTATGAGTCACACAGATGTTTTCTATCTATAACAACCTTCAGGCAGCAAATCAGCAATGGGATCGTGGTCCCTGGTGGTCAAAGGGTAAAAAATTTGAACATGGACCTTGGTGGAAAGGGATTGGCGCTAATATCAAAAAGAACGGCGATCTTTCTGCTGTCAGAAAAAAGACTGATGAGAAGACTCCCCTGCTCAAGAAGAATCTTGGAAGGTTATCAGTATCAAAGAAGGGCCCCCGTAACGGATTGTATAGTGAAGAAGTTGGAAATAAATTGTCTGTAATAAGCGTGCATAAAGCTGGGCGGAAAAAAGCGATAACAAAGAATAAACGTCAAGAAAAGTCTAAGAGGAGAGAGAAGTACAAAACTAGACGAGCCCACACTTCGACAAAGAGCGCCATTGGGCTCAGTACGCGCGTGAGACACTTCAATCTGTTTACCGCATCCAACAGAGGTTCAAGAACGCTCAAAAACAGAACTCATGTTAAAAACATTACCCCACTTACAACTTCGGTCAAAGCGCTGAAGACACAGAAAAGAGATGCACGCGTGAGAGGCATCAATCCATCTATAAGTTCGCCTAAAAGGTTGACGACAACAACATCCAAGAATGTAGAAATCAGTGGTAATCGAAATAAGAAGAAGAACTTCGGAAACCTGGATAGAGTGAGCAAAAAGACGGCAGATGACGAACTGGAGGAAGAAACAGAAGGCAGCGGAGACGAAGAGGTGTTGGTTGCCAGCGTAAAAATTAGCAGGCAAGAGTCTTTAGCGGGAAAGCAAGGAGTCGGTAAGGTAAAAAGGTAAGCAGAACAGTTCCTAATTGCAAAATTTCAGCTGACGGAAGAGTGAAAGATCCGGTGGTTAGAAAAGCATTGAAACATGAAAACAAAATGAATGCGGAGTATAGCAAATTTGCTATCGGAACAACAAAAGGTAATACTGTGCTAAACATATGTTTTTTGAAAAAAAGAAGTTCAGGTAATACTAAGGCATCGGTGGAGCATGAAGAAAGACAACATGATGTTGAAGAAGCAAAGAAGAAAAAGGAAAGAGCACAAAGAAAGAAGGGTCATAAAGGATCCAAAACAGGAAAGTTTAAAAGTGCGATTAGGAATGAAAAAGAAGACAACAAAGAAAATAAGGAGAAATCGTCTAGAGGTTACAGTGTACATCTGAAAGAAATAACGAAACTGCAAACAAGCAGTCGTGGCTATCTTACAAGTAATCAAGGAAGAGTTACTCGCAGCAGCGGTCAGATCATGAAGAGACATAAAAAGGGAGAAAAAGCGGCAACTTCTGAAGTCTTTTTGGAGGGGATTAAAAGCGAAACATCAATGTCTCCTAAAACAGGTGAAAATAACACCGTCAATTTGAGTGAAGGAAGCCATAAGTACGCCTTTCAAGACAACAAAACTGCCACGAAAGTTTCCGTGCAAAAGGAAGAAGATGGAGCTTATCGTGTGTCAAATGCTGCTGGGCAAACGCTGACATCAAATGGCAAGTTGAAGAGGATCAAAAGTGATGGAATGCAAATAAATGGCAGGAATATGCGTGAAAAGAATGGGAAACAAAAGGCAAGCGTTATTGAGGCGCCAGAAGGAATGAAAGAGAAAGCAGGTGATGGCAAAGTTGGGTCAGACAGAGAACAGAAGAGTAAATCAAACGCCGAAAAACCTCACGAGACCAAAGAAAACAAGCGCTTAGAAAGGAAAAAGACTCCCACAAGCAGCGGTGATCAAACTAGAATTGGCGGCGATGAAAAGATCATAGATGTAAGGAAGAATAGTGTAGATTCGCGAGATCGCTGGGACACCTCAATTAAGACCACGCAAAAACTTACAAAAGTCAAGGTCACAGAAGAAGCAAAAGCGGATTACGTAAAAGGATCAAGTAGCACAGTGAGTGAGAAAAGAAAGAAACCTATGTCACATAGCGATAGAGCATTTGGAAAAGTAAAAGAAACTTTAAAGGCAGAAAATGAGAACGCCGGCAGTGATAAGGAGCAGAGTACTAAACCTGATGTTAACAGAGTCAAAGAAGATAATCTACCAAAAGATGAAAAAACTACTGCATGGGCCAGTGTTCAAAAACTTGGACCTGGAAGCTATAAAACACTTGCAAATTCAGAAAAGAAGAATGGAGAAGTAGAAGCTGCTTATGACACCTCGAGTGTAACTAGACAGAAGCCTGTCATTCATAACAAATCCACAAACGGAAGAGTCGAGGAAAAAGAACCACATAACAGGAATAGTAGCAGTGAGAAGGAGAAGACTTTCTTCATTAGCAATGAATCGGAACGACGGACAGACAAGGGGCGCAACAGTAAGCTGAATAGTACTAGTTCTCCGGAGAGAGTCAAGGAAAAGAAGGAACAACAAAAAGAGGAGAACACCGAGAGGGGCAATAATGGAAAATTTGGCTTTGGCTGGAGCACTGGAGCGATTTTAAATACTAAAGTGCCTGACCAGGCTACACCGAGGGGCGTTACACGAAAGTTCGCGAACGTTGAAAGCAGCAAAGCAGTAAATGATAGAAACAAATCAAGCAGCAAGCATATGCAACAGGAGAAGGAGAAGGATTTGTCGGATAGCGATGAAGAGTCCAAAGTAGGGAAAAAAGGTACCACAGAAAGTGGTAAGGGTGTAAAGCGAAAATTATTATCTGTTCCTGATCGTCTTCCAAAGGTAGATGGGAGGGACAACGGACAAGAAGGAAAAAGGGACACCACAAGCAGTAGCGATCGAAAGTTTGGCTACGGTGGCGGAATAGAATCGCAACTCACGATGAGGAATGACGCAAAAGGATTAGAACAGAGTACGTCAAATGGTGCTAAGGGAAAGGCTAGCACGGACAAGTCTGCAACCGTTAGGATCAGGACTAATGGGAGAGAAGGAAGAAGGAAAGGAAGTAAGGAGGTACCAAGTGACTATGAAGCGTCCAGGAAAGTAGAAGAAGACAAAAATAATTTTTTGGATAAACCGCGGACTAAATCAGATGGTAACCGATCTTCCGAAAAATTTGAGGAAGGTAATAAACAAGAAGAAGAAAGCACAACTAGTGCCAAGAAATCTGGTTTTGGTGGTGGCGGGGCACTCAGTAATGCGCTACCGAAAGGTGAAAAATTAGCAGCTCATCATGAGACTTCAAAAGAAGCGAAGTTTGAAAAAAGTAACAAAATGAAAGCCAAGACGGAAGGTGACGGAAAGGAAGAAGGCGTCAAAAGTACGAGTGAGAAAGAAAAGAAAATCGTGCAGGGCAGCGATAAAGTCTCCAAAAAAGTAAAAGGAAAGGAAACCGTAGAAAATGGTGCAGATAAAGAGCGAAACATCAAAGCAGATGGCAGCCAATCTACAAAGGAACTCGAAAATGAAATCAAGTCGGGAAAGAGAACGACAATCACAGGCGGCAGAGAAAAGAAAGTTAAAATTGGTAGAGGCGGAGCACTTTTAGAAGCGATTGCGGGAGACTCGAAAGTAGAAACAACACAAGACACTTTTAACGGACTTATGATGAAGCACACTAACAACGGCGAGTCAGTCGGCAGTCATACAGTCGGCATGCAAGAGGACAATCGAAAGAAAAGTAGCAAGGCTTCAAATGAGGACAAGAAGAAAAAGCCAGTCTCAGTCAATGATAAAGCGTTAGAAGAAGCGTTAGTGCATGCTAGGGAAGATATCAGGCAAAACAACACGACTAGAAGTAGCCAGATGCCAAGCTTGGGTGCCGGTCGCGAAGCCAAAGAAGGCCACGGACGGAGCAGAATGACAAGCAGTGAGGACGCTATTAGCGACAATGAAATCAAATCAAAACAAAGAAAAAATGGATTGAAAAAGCCTGTACAAAAGGGCATTGCTACGAAAAATGCTCAGTTCAAGGGAATTCGGAATGGCCTCAGTGCATTAGAAAATAGGAAGTCAACACGTACACAACCGGACAAACCAATGATGGATTTGAAATGGAAAAGAACTTATAAGAAAAAGACTACAAGCAAAATCGCGATTCAATCAAGAAAGAGGAAAGAAAAGATGAATACAACAAAAAAAACTTCACGCAAAACGGCAGTCAAATCTAATGATAAGCTCAGTAAAGGAAGAGGGAACAAGGCATCTCGAAATAAGACTGGAAATCAGATTACAAGCAAAATTGCGATTCAATCAAGAAACGGGAAAGAAAAGATGAATACAACAAGAAAAACTTCACGCAAAACGGCAGTCAAATCAAATGGTAAGCTAAGTAAAGGAAGAGGGAACAAGGCATCTCGAAATAAGATTGGAAATCAGATTACAAGCAAAACTGCGATTCAATCAAGAAACAGGAAAGAAAAGATGAATACAACAAGAAAAACTGCACGCAAAGCGGCAGTCAAAACAAATAGTAAGCTCAGTAAAGGAAGTGGAAACAAGGCATCTCGAAATAAGATTGTGAGTCAGAATGCGGCGAAAAGAAAAGGATTAGCAGCCAGGACTAAAGCAGCGAAAACAGCTTCTTTCAAAAAGAAAGCGAAGAAGGCAAAGAAGAAGCGAAGAGGAAAGCCAAAAATTGTGCGACTGGATTCCGCATTTGAGTACGAAAAATCTCCATGGAAATATCCCGCATTTGAGTACGAAGAATCTCCGTGGAAATATAGAGGAGCTTAGACGATATAATACTCGGATGATATTGACGACTGAATAAACTAAGTGGACTTTGCTCAGTAGTGCATGGTGATATTATTATATTATAAATGGAGCTTAGAGTATCATAAGAGTGCTGCATAAGCCTGTGATAATCAAAAAAGTATTCGAAATCGTTGTAAGACCATAACAGAACAACGGATCACCGTCACCATGGTTTATGGCAGTTTGCAGTACTCTGATGACTCTTGACTCTGAAAAGATGATTCTGAGCACCTTCGGGTGAGAAGTGAGAAACTTTGAGGCAAGAGATGAATTAATGTGGGATAAAGTCAATCGTTTCAGCCTTTTTAGACATCAAAAGTACGAGAAATGGTCAAGAGGCGCGATTTCTCTGGCTCTCACCAACTCAAAACTCCAGTCTAGTGCTATTCGAGTCTTTAAAAAGTATCACATAAAGTGTGGATTACTATCTGTATGAGGTTACCACTAACCGAATTCGGTGGCTTTTGCTGGAAAACGAACCAAAATATTAGGTCGTTCCGAAAGTAATGTCGCTTTTTTTCGAATGAACGCCGCTATTCGTGGAATCAACATTTTCAAGAGATCTTAGGAGCATTCGATGTAGCATTTCATCCTCTTTCTAATGATTTTAATTCCACTGCATAATGTTTAAAGAGCTCTCGAAAAAATTACCAAAATCTGCAACTCATGCTTTTTGCCATGGTCAAGTTCGGCTATTTTTCTAAATTTTTGTACCAAATCTTCGAAAAAGTACAAGTAGCAGGTAGATAGAGCAAACACTATAGAACACATAGTAATTTTTTCTTTTCCTTAGCTTGCTTCTCAGAGTTTCTACAATCAAATTCTCAATACCATCAAATTCCATATTTAGTCAACTCAAACCTCACAGAACAACAACCGGCAAGAGACTCGGGTGTCATTCGATGCAGCTTTTTCTCCTCTTTCTAGCGGTTGTTTTTTGCTTCCGATTCATCAAGTTTTCCGGGACAAAATCTCATAATTCAACTTTTCCAAGGGACCCCAAGGTGTACCTGAAATTTTCGAAAGTTGCTAAACCGAAGCGGTGAATTCTCTTTTGGTTTGTAAAATTGTTGCCAAACCATAATCCATCTTTAAGTTTTAAAATCAGAAGACGTGTTGGCGTTTGATGCACTTGTGTCTGAGACGATCCTGTTAAAATTCGGTGGTTCCATCAAAAAATCTGTACAAAAATTATGACGAGATCTGGAAAGTAGAAAAAAGTTGTGCTGTTTCCTGTAGGGTTTGCTCCATCCATCCATTACTTGGAATCCTTCTGAGGTCTGTTATAAAATTTTAAAAAATTGTGAAACTTGGCCATCTCAAAAAGCATAGGTCGCCGATTTTGGGTAGGGGAACGAAAGCCGCCATTTGAGACGTCTTTCGCGGCCAACTGGTCTTTTCGCAGCGTTGTTGCATGTCGTTCCAGGACCAGCAGTCCGCGGGGGCGGCTCGAACTGGCGGCTTTCGTTCCCCTACTCGCAGATTTTGACTCTTTTCTGGGAGCTCATTGAATTAATTGCAACAACTTCATAACCATTAGAAAGAGAATGAAATGCTGCATCAAACGCTACCAGAATCTCTTACACATCTTTGTTCCACGAGATGTGGCATACGTTTAAAGAAAGCGACATTACTTTCGGAACAACCTAATATTTACTAATTTGTTCTTAGCTGCATTTTCATGGGTTTTTGACTTTCAAAATTGCTCTTTCGAACTGATTCCAAGAAAGTAAGATTGGGTAACCCATGCAACTCTTAAATATATCTCCCTCTGAGATATCAATACTTTTAGAATATTGTAAAACACTTATTATATGCTTTTTGGTGTCCATCTGGCAATAAAGATCCGCGTCTTAACATACACCCGGAAAGTACTATACAATAGGTAAAGAGTTTATGAAATAAAAAATCCTGACGCTTGCCACTGATTTGAGGTCTATAAAGATTGTAGCGATTGATCTCTCGGCAACTAGTTCATTTTTCGATTCCAGAAATGCTCATTACTTATTTTCCACTGCAGATAAGAAGCAAATTTATAATCAGCGCGCCAAGCTCCCACTGATGGTGTGCAGGTAGTAGTGACAGGGCTCGGCACAGGTGACTTATAAGCAAGCTGGATATCGTTTTTGGGACAAAAAAGCAAAAGGTGTTGCGTTTTTACTGCCGACAAAACAAATTTTGCGACGCTTTTTTTGATTGAAGTTTCGTTTTTGGAGATTTTTCAGGATTATGGTCTAAGGTCAAAGGGTACTTCGTTAAATTTTGCAAAAGTCAAATAAGACGTTTTTTTTCTGCAATTTCAACTAGCCACCTCGCCGAGCCCTGTGTAGTGATCGGCCAGTTCGACTCCATAACTTCCCTTGTTAGACTTGCGTTGAAAGTGAAAAAACTCCTTTGATATAAGTTTTATGAACTGTAAATTGTACCAACCTATGTTTTCTTGACTTTGAGATTATCGTCAAGTTCAGGATACAATAATACAAGGGTCCAAAAAATGTAAAGCATTGGATTTTCAATAATTTTTGTCTTTGTGCGAATATCGTAGGGTTGGCTTGACTTACATTAGACTCATAACAGAAGTACTTGATTGTAACAAAAAATGCTGCTCTTCACACTTCTATATCAGGCTGCTGGTTCACAACAAAATTCAATTTCTAAAAGAATTATGCATACCTCCCAATGCACTCTTTTTTTTCGAAATCATTCTACGGCGTATAAAAACAAGTGGGCTGGAGAGTCCCGCGTATAGAAAGAGCAAACATAGGTCATTTATTAGTAAATAAAACGGAACTTGTTATTTTGATTAGCTGCTAGAAAATTAAAAAACCGCGAAAGGCACTTTCTGGCCTTCTCATGATGATTGAAAAAATTGAGTATCATGTCGTCTCGAAGAACTTGAAAGCAATCGATGCATCTTTCCATTATCTTTCGAAAAATTATGTTTCTATAGCAGTCCGGTGAGTTTCTGAAAAAATCAGCAGAGCCTAAAATCCATGTTTTATGTCATAGTCAAATTTCATCATTTCAAATGCTTATCCAAATTTCCCGAAGAAGTTCAAGTGACGGGTGAATAGAGCAAACCTTACAAGATACGAAGTACTTTTTTTCTGCTTCACGTACCTCGTTAATATTTCGTGATAGATTTTCTAAGCAAAACTACCAAATTTTAGCAGGTCTATCTCACACACAGACGCGTTGAACACCACTAAATGATCGAAATTTGGAAATTTAAAAAGGATCATGATTGAGCACTAATTTAACAAAGCAAAAGAGTGTTCAAATTCGACTTATAAAATCTCAACTCCTCTGGTGCATTCAGGAGCGCATTTAGAATCAATTACATCGATTTTTTTCCTGAAATCTGTAAAAAGGAGAAGATGTTGCACCGAATGACGGCTAGGCTGCTCGCCGGTTAATGTTCTATGAGATCTGAGTTGGCTAGATAAACCGGGTGTCCCAAAAAAGTGCCTACTGTTCGATTCTTAATAACTCTCTTGCAATGATGTCTTTCGAGAAGCTTTGGGTACCATTTTGTAGAGCTTTACAGCTTAGATTTACGTAGAGCGTACTGATTCCTGCCTTCCATTACTGCAGAATCAGCGTAGGAATTTTGAAGATTGTTAAGCCATAAAAGTTGATATTTTACCTCCGAAAGGAACAAAGCAACTTGAAAACTCTCACGCTAGGTTAATTAGAGTTACCGAATCTAAATGTAAAGTTCGCAACTTTTCATAATGCTTCATTAAGTTGTGCGAGGTAAGCAGTAGCGGCCGTTTGTCAATTTCCTGAAAAGTGCTTTTACACCGTTCAGAAAGCTTCGCAATCTTATACACGGTTGAGTGTTGAACTCAGCGTTTATGAAAACCCTCTTACACAGGTTTTCACACGACTTCTGAGATATCTTGACAGCTTTTTCCACAATGACGCCACATAAAGTTCCTCCGTAAATTCTACAGTTGTGAAGGATGATCGGTAATTTGATCTAAACTGTAAATCTAAGCTGACAGCTTCGCAAACGGTTTTTAGAGCTTCTCGAAAGCTTTCATTACAAAAGAGTTAATCAATCTTTTTGGGACACACTGTAGAATTTGATAGCATCAAAGAATTGGTTTC